ACTCACGTCCCTCTCTAAGACAGCAAATAATATGATAAATACTCTAAAAACATGTTAGTTTCTACCGCATGTGTATTTCTGGATGCATACTTTAGAGTAATGATAATGTTAGACTGACGCTTTAGTATACTTGCTTAAAATTATAGTTTTACATAGACTTGAAGAATTTAAAAAAAGAACCATAATACTTGATTAATTGATTTATATAGGAATTGGCATGTTAAACAGAATTCCCGAATGTTTATAGACCAGCTACTTCCTTTCGTGCCCACAACCAATACTTTATTGTGCACAAGATGTTTAACCACCAATGATATGTATTCAAATTTTACTGTTATATTTAGGAGTTATTTATATTAATTACTGTTATATAATTGTATTTCTATAGATTACCTGAAGTATAATATATAAAATATAACAATTATACTGTCAAACTTTGCGGTACAATTATTCAAAACTGCCTACTGATGGAGCATTATTGTTTTCACTCGTCCCACTTTTCGCAGACGAAGCAATAACGAAATCTTAGACAGAAATCAAACTTAATCTGGATAAGTTAAACAGATTTGTTCTCATGTTTGCTGCAGCTTCTATGTTACAATTCTAATACTGATATATAATAATGATTTAAGCAATACATATTTATTTCTGTTTTTGTTTAAACTTACTAATACAACTTGATCCTTTATTAGATACAGCGGATATTATTTCAATGGCATCTGGTTTATCAAGTTAAATAAACAGTTATTAATTAAATCAAATTGCTACCCTATTTATCTGATTGAAAAAAAAACTGAGACATGATAAATTATATAGTGTGATAACAAGCTTTATTCCAAATACACTTCTTGATTAATCAAAATGTAAAATAGTTAAAATAATTAAACTCTTTTAACCATGCTTGTAATAATTAAAATATTATGATCTTCTTTTCTTTTTTTGACTTTTCTTCAAGAAGGATGAATTTTATAAAGATATGACGTTTATATTTTTCTGAAAATCCTTTGAATGATCTTATTTTTTTTCTCAGACAATAAAACTAATAAATCTGATAAAGAAATAAAGAAATATATCAACCAACGCTAATAAAGAAAAATAATCAATGAAAATATCTCTGTGTTTCATCTAGCATGAAATAAAAATACGTAATTTATACAAGTATAAGTGTATATAAATGAAAGAGCCTTTTTTTTAAAAAAAATAGATAAAAACAATGAGCGAAACATGTAAAAATAGATGAGCTTTTATATAAAAATAAGAGAAGAATTTAAAACAATCAATTAATATTAATAATAAAAAGGAAGCTATTCTTGCATTTCATTTTCTGAAGGTATTCCCTCTGGAAAAAGAAATGAGGAGATTTCTTCACTTTTTATGTTGATTTGATCCAATTCCTTTTATTTTTCTTAATTCATTATTTTCATCATTACATTTTTTTAAGGTGTTGATTAAGCGAACGGTTTTAGATATTATCTATGTGTAGATAGATAATGAATATGATAGATCATATAGATATATAGAGGAAGTGGTTTTACCTTCGGTTAACATATGAATAATTTTCTTTTCAATGTCTTCTAAAGAACATTTGTTTTGAATACGCGAGTTATCAGAGTAATGAGTATATAAGTACATATATAGCGTGATTAAAATATTTCTGGATTGATCATCCTTTATAGAGTGATGTATACCTAAGTGTTCAAATTCATAACAGGAAATTTTATAAGATTTGTTTGGAAACCCATTCGTGTTCACCCAGGTAGTGACAGTTTCAGGGCCAAATAAATGAATGTTAGACATTTCTTTTAAATTTTGTATGATATAAAGACTCATACCTAGTGAAGTGTGTTTTGAGTACAAAGATAAGGAAAGAGAAAAAAGAAAAGACAAGTCTGTGAAAACTTTGTATAGTTTATTAAAGATAAATAATACAGAAAATTGTACAAGAAGAAAATAATATGAAAAAAATGACGAGGGCTATTTATATGTTTTGTAAGGTAAGTGATATTAATAGGAGTGTGATTTAAATAAGTGAATACTGCTATAATAAAGCCTTTATGCACAAATATGCACAAATATTGTCTCCAAATAATTCTGCATGTAGTATGCAAATTTCTGCCTGAGCTGTTGCTGTTATTAAAAATATACCCGATTATTGTCTTTGGGATAAGCAACGCGCTAATATCAATTCACAGTGAATATTCCCTCTATAACAATATTTAACATCATGGATGTATCTATAATATGTATGACTTGTATAAATAATTATGTAATTGAATATAACAGCCATAAACTTATTGAATTCTTATTATTATTACATAATACAATGTATATAATTATTTTTAATGCTCGAATGCTCTAACAGTGACTATTATCAAAACTGAGTGTAGAATGAATATTATGCTGTGAAGTACAATACTCTAGATTTATTCGAATAAACTCTTTATTATTTAAATAAATGATGGTTTAATTCTATTAACTTAGTTGTAAAAACGACTACAAGCATAACACCTTGAAGATAGAATGAGTCAAATTGATGTCGACTTAAAGATTTAGGACTTAGCTTTTGAATATGGTGTGATAACCAAATTAACTGATTTCGATTCAATCTTTTTCTTTTCTAGTGCTAGTGAGATCAACATGGAAGAAGCTGTAAAGGAATCAGCGGCAAATCTTAAAGCAGTAGTTATTGGGGATTACAGAAAGAAAGAAAAGAAAAAGGTGAATACATTAAAAGCTCTTAACGGGCTCAAGAGGAAAAGGGGGAAAATGCATTATGACTTACAAATTATTTAATGAATTTGATGGTGCTATTTTACTTGAGTGCTCTTTGAAGAAAGCAAATTGAGGAACTGCAAAAAAGGTATTTTTTGAACATGTTTGTTTTCTTGTTTCTGCCTTCAACTACTCTAGAGATGGCACAATGAACACTTATTAGTCATTATAAAAGCTCTATAATCCTCTTGCAGGATTATGAAAGTATTTAACGGAACATTGTTTCTTTAGTCTGAAACAATCTTCAAAATATAATACCGAGAAAAATCTAGAGAGAACCCTTCACCTTTAATAAGAACTTGTTACCAACTAGAGAGAAGTAAGTGTTGATTTTCAGGAAAAATTTGAATTTATTGATGGGATTGGTTTTAACACTCAAATGATGCATGGTAGAGCTTCGTTAAAACTGGTGAATTAGCTAAGGTCAGGATTCACAGGAAAAAAGGTGTCAATATTAGCATTATCGGCTGTATATCTTTCTTTGGCACTGTTAAGTCGGTGAAGAATTTTAAAGAAGAAAAAAGAACAATAAAAACAAAAGATAATTTTTGTGAATCTATATGTATATGAATGTTTTTTTTTTTTTTTTTTTTTTTTTTTTTGAGGATAAAAAGCTGATTATTTCAAAATTATTAACAAAATCAGCTCCATTTTAGGGATGCTTGATCCAGAATTGTAGTAGCAATCAATATCTACTATAATGTTCTAAGATTGGTATGATAAAAATTGTAAAAGATAATTGCTAGCAGCATGAAATTGATGACTATACTATTGGTTTAATCCTATACGCAGTTATTTTAATTTGATATACTTATTAGTTGTGATAGAAAGTAATAATTAAAGGATGTTTTGTATTCAATAATCATAATAAACTTTTTCATTAATACAAAAATCACATATTATGTTATACCTTTATTGAATAAGCTTTGTATAGGTTTTATTATATTACTTGCCGTATTATAAACAAACTTTAGAAAATATTAAATATAAAATGCAGACTATATATCTTAGTGATAACCCGTCTTTACACATATAAGTATATGCTAAATGAAGATTACATCAAGCTTATATGTGAGTAAGATAAAATGCTTATTCAATCAAATATTCAGACTGTGAAATAATTTCATTCAATAATATCAATAAAGTAAACAGTTTAGATAAAAACATAAATATTTTTCTTATATTATTTATACATAAAACAATGACTGTAATATGAATAATATAGAATGTAGTCTAGTTATCGAAGGTAACTTTGATTAGTAAATCAATAAAGTAATGGAGCAAATAAAACAAATAAAGTTATAAAATACTTATCTATTAAGGCAGTATACGCCTATAAATTCAACACTATTACGGTTATATAAATGGAAAGAAAAAAACTGCAATAAGTAAAGTGCACAAGCTATTAGAATTAATAAACTTTAGTAGCAATTTATTATCGATAAATATCATATATAGCCTTATTTTTGAGTTTATTGAATTAGGTTATATATATTCCAATGTACAAATATCTAAAGGAGGTTATAACAGCAGATAGTAATTGATAATGGCGACAGTTACTTATTTATTACATAATAGATATTGCTGTAAGTCATTGATGTGGTTTCATAGTATTAGTATAATCTGTGTATTACGAACCAAACATAAGTTACTAACTATATTTAAATCAAAAAAGTTACTATCTAATTAAGTCAAAACAATGTATAAACACAGAATATTCTTTTCATCTCTAAGGGTTATTATTTTTGTTTGAATTATCTATGTTTTAAATAAAACTCTTATTAGAGCTACCATCCTTATACACTTTTTGCCAAAGTGATGTTGCAAGAAAGTATCGTACTTTTAGCAGAAACAGTGTCATACAATTTAGGGCAATAGTATCGCATAAGAAATCATTGTTTTTCCTCTACTTTCTTCAATTTAAAATTATAAATCTTCTCTCAGTATTTCTTCACATCCCCAAATAGTAGTAGTTATAAAGTAACTCTTGAGTTGTCAAAAATTGAAACACTATAAATTCTTAATGTTATGGATAAAGAAATTTATAAAATTTTATTATACATTTAGACATATATTCAACTATATATAAACAATATAAACTTAAAGTATCAAAGAAACTTTGAAGAGGTCATCATTTAATTTTGGAAAAACCTTCGTTTTTCTGCTCAAGTAGTACGTTTTTTTTTTTTAAAAAAAAAAAAAAAAAAAAAAAAAAAAAAAAAAAAAGATTAATCTTTAATAGTTGACTGGGATCCAAATATTGAATTGTCTTGAAGAAGTTCTTTGAGATTTTCTACTTCTTTCAAGATTTCATCCTACAGTCACATTCATGATTGAATGCAAAACATTGCAAACAAACTTACTTTAAACATAAAAAGTTGTTGAGGTTTATCAATAAATGTATCAGTCATTTTTTCGTTGATTGAATACTTTATTGTGTTTCCCCCATTTATTTGCCATATATGCATTAGGCGCAATAAATTGAATCTGTTGGAACTTTCCTTCTAATCCTATAAAATTAATTTGTAAGTATATTATTCATAAACTTTTACAAAGAATGAAATTACCACAGAACTGTCCTACAATCACCTTGATTTTCTTGGCCTTGTGAAAAGTCCAAATTATAATGTTGAGAGAAACAATTTAAAATTGTCTTCCCTTCTACGCGGACCTTTCCTTCATTTTCTTTTACTGAGCGTGAGTCTATACCATTCTTTTTGAACTCAATATTCGATATATCGTAATTATTGACTTTTAAAGTTCGACATAATCTTAAATTAACTCTAAAATTATTGTGTTTTGTATTGCTCCTATATATGAACTATTAATAAGGATAATGCATACAAGGTAATTAATTTAAAATGAATGAATACCAATTGAGGCTTATACTAAATAAAATTTTAAAAACATTGGTTCAAAATTCGATAATAACGGACCACTCTGACATGGTTTTCCAGCAATAAGCATCATTCATCTTAAATACGATAGACTTGTATCTCCAAAAATAGCGATGAGCTAAAATTAACATTTATGTACATCTGCATATTGACATTGCAGTAAGTATCTCAAACTTCTTTCTTATATCACCGTCAAATTTGAGTGAAGTAATGATGTACAAATTGTACTTTCCTCTTAATGATGTTATCTAATATTCCCAATCAACAGTTAAGTTTAAGCTTGAAAGTTATAATGAAATGAAAACCTAGTTACCATGTCTACCTTCTTCATCAAACTTTGTAATTGTTGGTCAACATTTGGGAAGTTCACAGCAGGTACCATGAACTTCTCATGAAGATCTCGTCCTACTTGTTCATCTAATACAACTGCTTTCATTAATCCCTTGTCTTGAAGATCCACGATGGAATTTAAGCATAATCTAGAAAATTACTATGAATGATACATGCCTCCACTAAATTAATAATTATCGTAACTTACTCAGCTATATATATATTTCGACGTCACTCAAGTTTTTACATTCTTTTTTATACAGCTTCACACCAAATGAACGTACTAAGAACATTAGACTGTTATTATACCCTATGATAATAATGTTGTCACTATTGTCAACTTCATCGTTCTATTTAGAAATGAATATTAGTTGCGTGTATAATGTATTAGTAGAAATCCATATATTTACATTGGCAAGAGCTTCTAGGACTGATCATTATAGAATTAAATTAGTTATTTATCTTTGGTTAAAATTAAAAACTTACTTTTGACGATTCATGTACGTTTTCTAGCTTTTTGAGGTATCTCCACTTGTTTTTCTGCTTGAAAAATTACAGTTCCTGTTGCAGCTTCATCTACAACTTCAATAGCCTTCAATAGTACGATATGTTAGAGATAACATAATTGAATGTAGGGGAAAAAGAGGATCAAAAAATATTGACTTACTTGTGGTATAAATATGATACAATTTTTTGTTCATTTATTTCAAGTTAATTATACTCCCTATTTTTTTTTATTGTTGCACGCCAGACATTTTTTTTCTTTTTTTGGACCGAGGAACTTTGCAATAAGACATAAACATATAATATAGAAAATCAAACTAGAAAATTTTAGAAAAAGATATAATAAAACATTTTTTTTTTATTTGGAAAACAAGTGATAAAAAATGCGATAAAAAAGATTTCCAAAACGTACACTATTTTTTTACAAATTATTCGTGCACCTTTAGGGAAATAGTTTGTGCAGTTTAAAAATAAAAATTGATTCAGGCTCAAAAAAAAAAAAAAAAAAAAAAATCATTCAAATCAGTTTTAAAGATTGTTCAATTGGGTTGAGCTCAGGGGAGTAAGCTGGAAGATAAACACAGCCGTAGCCGCGTTACTCAATGTATTTTCTGATATCAGCATGCTTGTGAATAGGAGCATTGTCCATAACAATGTAATTGTCCTTAAATTGCTCATGCTGATCCAAAATATCAAGGGTACTTGTAATGAAATTGAAGTAGTGCCCAGTGACAGTTCCGCCTTTGGTATTTCCAGTAGCCTAAGTACTAACTGCTGTCTTTCTCTTCTTCAAAGGGACAGGTACTCTTGGTCTTCTTACTTTGATGTTTACTACACCATAAGGAGAGATAGCACCCAAAATAATTGTTGTTTTGGCTCTTGTCTTGAGTACAACCACAACGGCACGGTTTCCTTTTTTTGACCATGCTACAGAGTGCTTCATATTGATATGGAAAGCTGCCTCGTCAATAAAGATGCAGTTACTCGTGAAATCAAGGTCTGTTTCATTCCACCTTACTACCCAATCGTGTTTCTCCTTAATTTTTTCAGGGCTATTTCACTCTACTGAGTGGAAGTGTGCTTTCTTCAAACTAATTCTGCACTTTTTGGTTACAAAGTTGTAAAGAGCAGTTTTTGAAATAGATAGGTCCTCAAACTTGCTTGTCAAATTGTCCATCATCTCCTCCAAAACTAAACTTGACTTATCATCAATAAGCTCTTTCAAGAATTGTTCATGCTCTTCTTTCAAGATAGGTGGTCTTCCCACAGGTCTGCCACTACCCTTTTTTCTTTCAATCACTTCCTCTGGATTCTGGCTTTCTTTTTTGTACCAACTTTGAACAGTGGTCTCTGGCATTTTAAGGGCTCTAGCTGCTTCTCTTATGCCCATGTTTTTCTCGTATATAAGGGAAAAAATCGCTCTTTATCTTCAGGTTTGTAGCGTCTGTAGGTTCTCTTGCCCTTTTCGGATGATTGGTTATTAGTATTGGACTCCTCAGGCAGCTTCTCTTCTTTTTCATGTTCCATTCTCTCAGGTGGCTTTACGTCGAAGTACTGGTTCAAATCCGTTACATTTTCAAGCGGATAAGTTTCATCATCCACTTCCATATCAATCGTAAAAACTTCATTTCCCTGGTCATCTAACATGTTTCCTTTTCCGTCTTCGTGAATAAAAGAGTCCATACTGAATTGAATATAAAGTGAGAAAGAAAGGCTCCTGATACTGCGCGAAATTTTTTTCTTTAATTGCACGAAACTATTTCCTTTTAATGGCCGAAGTTTATTCCTGAGCCTAAATCAATTTTTATTTTTAAACTGCACAGATTTTTTTCCTGAAGGTGCACGAATAATTTGTGAAAATAGTGTACATGACCCCATTTGAGCACGAGATGTTATTAAATACATCAAATTTGCCCGGGCCGGATCAGTTTAAAGGGATAAGGAACGAAAAAACCTCTTTAGGAGCAAGAGGAAAAACGTAAAGGAAAGGAAGGGTGTGATAGGTGTAATGTAAAAATTATACAGGTAGTGTAGGAGAAGGAGGAAGCCAATCTATTAAAAGAAATACACTATTTTCAGAAATTATTCTTGCGCCTTCAGGAAAAAAATTTGTGCAGTTTAAAAATAAAAATTGATTTAGGCTCAGGAATAAACTTCGGCCATTAAAAGGAAATAGTTTCGTGCAATTAAAGAAAAAAATTTCGCGCAGTATCAGGAGCCTTTCTTTCTCACTTTATATTCAATTCAGTATGGACTCTTTTATTCACGAAGACGGAAAAGGAAACATGTTAGATGACCAGGGAAATGAAGTTTTTACGATTGATATGGAAGTGGATGATGAAACTTATCCGCTTGAAAATGTAACGGATTTGAACCAGTACTTCGACGTAAAGCCACCTGAGAGAATGGAACATGAAAAAGAAGAGAAGCTGCCTGAGGAGTCCAATACTAATAACCAATCATCCGAAAAGGGCAAGAGAACCTACAGACGCTACAAACCTGAAGATAAAGAGCGATTTTTTCCCTTATATACGAGAAAAACATGGGCATAAGAGAAGCAGCTAGAGCCCTTAAAATGCCAGAGACCACTGCTCAAAGTTGGTACAAAAAAGAAAGCCAGAATCCAGAGGAAGTGATTGAAAGAAAAAAGGGTAGTGGCAGACCTGTGGGAAGACCACCTATCTTGAAAGAAGAGCATGAACAATTCTTGAAAGAGCTTATTGATGATAAGTCAAGTTTAGTTTTGGAGGAGATGATGGACAATTTGACAAGCAAGTTTGAGGACCTATCTATTTCAAAAACTGCTCTTTACAACTTTGTGACCAAAAAGTGCAGAATTAGTTTGAAGAAAGCACACTTCCACTCAGTAGAGCGAAACAGCCCTGAAAAAATTCAGGAGAGACATGATTGGGTAGTAAGATGGAATGAAACAGACCTTGATTTCACGAGTAACTGCATCTTTATTGACGAGGCAGCTTTCCATATCAATATGAAGCACTCTGTAGCATGGTCAAAAAAAGGAAACCGTGCCGTTGTGGTTGTACTCAAGACAAGAGCCAAAACAACAACTATTTTGGGTGCTATCTCTCCTTATGGTGTAGTAAACATCAAAGTAAGAAGACCAAGAGTACCTGTCCCTTTGAAGAAGAGAAAGACAGCAGTTAGTACTTAGGCTACTGGAAATACCAAAGGCGGAACTGTCACTGGGCACTACTTCAATTTCATTACAAGTACCCTTGATATTTTGGATCAGCATGAGCAATTTAAGGACAATTACATTGTTATGGACAATGCTCCTATTCACAAGCATGCTGATATCAGAAAATACATTGAGCAACGCGGCTACGGCTGTGTTTATCTTCCAGCTTACTCCCCTGAGCTCAACCCAATTGAACAATTTTGGTCAGTATGTAAAAGCAAGCTTAAAAGAGAAGAGCTTTTGCAGGAAGAGACATTGTCGTCTAGAATTGGGGATGCATGCAACAGAATCCTTTTGAGTGATCTTCAAGGATTCTGCAGATACTCAGCTGCTAAATTCGAAGACTGTTTGAACTGTAAGCCAATGTAGTTTTCTTGTTTTTTTTTCGTGCACTTCATGCAATAATAAATCATGAATTTTTAAAATTAATTTGAATGAATTTTTTTTCTGAGCCTAAATCAATTTTTATTTTTAAACTACACAAATTTTTTTCCTGAAGGTGCACGAATAATTTGTGAAAATAGTGTATTTTTAAATAAAAATTATTGTTTAATCGTATTTCTTTTAAAAGTGCGACACTTCAATTTTTTTTTTCTTGCGACATCATTTTGGCAAAAGGTGCATCAATGAAATTTGTAAAAAAAAAAAAAAAAAAAAAAAAAATGATATTCCGCCTTTCTCTTCTTAAAAAAAATAGTGTTGTCTTTTTATTTTATTTTTTTTCTTTTTTTTTTTTTTTTTTGAAAATAGAAAAAAAACCAATAGTATGAATCAAGCATCAAGAGGATCTCGTGTTGTTTTTGGTAAATAAAGATAAAATTGTGACTTTATAAAATAAATTAAATAAAATTATTATAAATGATAGTTGGTAACATTCCATTTGAACTTTCTGAGGAACAGTTGATTGAAGTATTCAAAGAAGTTGGCCCGGTTGCTTCTTTTCGGTAAAATCAATAATGAAGATTAATGACTATATAAATTGTACTAAGACAAATATATACATAAATATAGTCTTTTATTTGATCGAGACACAGGAAGACCTAAAGGTTATGGCTTTTGTGAATTTCTAGGTAATTATCATTTGTTGATCATTTTATTTAAATGTAATTTCTATTAATCCATAATTTAAACAACCAACTTATTATAGATGCAGAAACTGCAGCAAGTGCTGTCAGAAATTTAAATGATTATGAAATTGGAGGACGTCAATTAAGAGTTGATTATGCTGCAATGGAAGACAACCAAGGAAGAGGGGGACATCAAAACAACAACAATAATAATTATAATAATCAAAGCAGACATCATCCGCCACAATCACAACCTATACCAGCACAGTCTATGCCACCACAACATATGCCAGCACAGCATATGCCAGCACAACATATGTCTATGCCTATACAGCCTTTACCTTCACAGCCTATAATGCCCACTACAAACATGTCGTCCGTTGATGAAATTTCTAAAGTTTTAGCTTCTATGAATTCTCAAGATTTATTTACTTTAATGAGCCAGATGAAGGTATACAAGTTTTATAGATTTATATTAGAGTTAAAAAAAATAACCATGTGTTTATCTTCAGCAAATGTCTTTTGAACGACCAGAGTTTACGAGAGAATTTTTAACTTCTAATCCTCAAGTTGCATATGCTTTATTTCAAGCAATGGTTATGATGAATATTGTAGATCCCAATATTATTACAGTAAAGTTTTTTTTTATAATACAACTTTAACCATTATTCTCATGTAAATGTTTTTTTTATAGCGAATTATGACAGCTGCAGCTACAGCTACAGCTACACCTCCCGTAATGCAGACCCAACCTGTAAGACCACCTATTGTGAATAATCCTGTTCCCAATCAGGGACCACCTACTCAACCAGAAGGTATATTATTAATAAAATACAGTTTAACTATGTTATACTTATACCTATAGTATAGATGAAACAGAGCAGCAAAAAGCGTTATTAATGAAGGTATTACAATTAACAGATGAACAGATTAATGCACTCCCTCCTCAAACAAGAGATCAAATCAGGCAGTTGGTAATTAAAACATGAATAAACGATATATATAAATAGGATCGCTAATAATATATATGTGTAAATATACTATAGAAAACACAATTAACAATGCAGCAATCATAAAAAAAAAAGGAATTTATTTATAAAAATAAAAGTATTTTATCTTGAAGAATATTTAATGTGTTGACCCTTATTAGCTCTCTTTTCGAGTTTAGCTTGACGTTTTGATTTACCTTGTGTTTGACTTTCTTCAGTTGTTTGCTTATTAGACTTATTTAAATAAGTCATAACCAAAGGAATAATTTTATAGGCTGCATATCCAGGAATCTTATAAAACAAAAAAGTTTAGTTTGGTGTATTATAATTATTATTTTTTACTATTACTTACTACTAAATATGCAAACCAAAATTTATTTGAGATAAAAGCTGTTGTCATGTGAACAAACCAGGTAACATAAATAATGTCAAACATATAGCTATTTAACTAATAGATTAATACATGAAAAAACAACAACAACATACATGTATGTTTTTGTATACTTTACGCTGTAAGTCCTTCAGAATTAAGATCATCTCCACTTGAAATTAAGCTACCATCAGCTGCGTAACGAGGCGTTCCAGAAGAGGATAAAACGCGGTAAAACATAAATGTTAAACCAGCAGTAATAACGTAAAGAAGGCATTGACTTGCAGTAAAAGAATTCCAATGATAGACGATACGCCATAAAAAGTAGATTGTCTAATTTGAATTCACGTAAGAATTTGCATGTAGAAATAAAGAACTAATTATTACATTAACAATTAAAAATCCTTTATAAAGATTTTCTAAAGTTTTTTTATTTGCTGCAGCTATTCTTTTTGATGAAGCGTTGGCCTAAAACAATAATACATCAGTCATTTAAAGAAGGCAATTGCTTTTGGTCTTTATTTTTTATTTACCATTTTTTTTTAAATTGTATAAAAAGAGTGCTACAGTAAATCTAAAAATAGGGTTTCCAAAATTTTTACTTGATCAAAAAAAAAAAAAAAGAAAAAAAAAAAAAAAAGGACTTGCTTTAATTCTTTCTTTTTTTTTTTTATTCCCCATTGTATACCTGACCAGATTGAGATGTCATTGCTAAATAAAATCTCAGGTTTTGCTCAAAAAGCAAAGGAAAATGTAGTATCAAAGTCAGTTATATCAAAAGATAGAAGACTTGAACAATCACTTTCTGAAACGATTAAAGTAAACGAGATTTACTTTGAAAAGGTAATCATCATCATAATAATAATAAAAAAACCAGGAACGCCACTAAATTATGACTAGATGTCAACATATGGGCTACCTTCTGTCATTAATGTCATCGCCTTTGATTGTGTTTCTGGACTATTAGCTATTGGTATGTCTATTATTGTTAGGTTATAAATTTTATTAACATTTATATCATCTGCATGTAGCCGGTGATTCAAACCATAATTATATCAAAATATTTGGCAAAGGAATATCGACACTAATAAAATTACCTACACCTACTGGCATTAAACATCTTCAATTCAAGTCAGGGTTTCCTATTCTTGTTGTTATAGATAAAGTTAATAGAATTATGACAATTGACTTGCGTACAAAATCTATACGACACACTTTACAAGCAAAAGCAATTATTACATGTCAAACATATTGTACAGGTACAGACTGGTTATTTATTGGCTATTCAAATGGATGTGTCGATGTATTTGACATTATGCAAGGCATTATATCCCCATATCAAATTCCTGACCTTTTGCTTGAAATTCAAAATGAAGAAGAGCAACAGGATTCAAGCCATATCGTTGTTGATCTTCAAATGCATCCCTCTGATCTTAATACGCTATTAATTGGATATGAATCCCATATTTTTTTATGGAATATTCGTGAAAATATTATTCAACGTTCATTTACCTTGCGTAAACTAGAAAAATCAAGTCCATATAGGAATGCAAACTTAACTTGTTTTGCTTGGAGCCCAAATGGATCTAGATTTATTGCAGGTTATGATGATGGATGTACTCATTTATGGGATATAAAAAATGAGAATAAACCTATTATTTCTCGCAAATTATCAAAGGCATTCTTTTCAGAATTATCGACATCAGAGGATCAGGTATCCTCAGAACCTATCTATCAAATTGCTTGGTACACTAACGAAACTGTACAAAAGTCTTACATTCTAATTGCTGGTGGAATACCTCCTGCTGTTATCCAAGGTTTGCATATTTTAGAATTTAACTTGGGTAATGAAACAAAGGAAGCTAGTAAACAGTCTATCATGCCACTTCCTGTTGATTTGTCACATTTCTTAATTCTAAGCTCAAATCCCTATTATTTGGGAATGCATAACCCTTTTGGTATAGCCATTATTGGGATTGATCACTGTCTAAGAACTTATAGTCTAGACTATGGCTTCCCTCTCCTCAAATTGCCACCTGCTCTTGAATTTATTAATCCTAAAATACTTAGTGCCTGTCATATTCCTCAATTACCAATAAATTCCTTTAAAAAGCTGACTTCTTGGACTCATAATGAAAAAATGACACGTTATTTACCTATTACTGGTGGTGTTACCGGTCCTGAGCATGTATACCACATTGAATCTAACGATCTGTTAATTACCATTCATCAAGGTGAAATAGTCAAATTCTGGGATGCCTCTTATACCGCACTTCGTCCTCTTTCTTATCTAACAATTGCATGTCTTGAAGATATCGATGACAGAAATACAATTTTGTATTGTCTAGATATAAATAAAAAGAATGGAACATTATTAATAGGATTTAGTGATGGATCCATTCTAGTTTATGAATACCAGGAGAATCTCAAAAGTCAAACCCAAGTAGATTCCAGATTACAATCGAGAAATGAAGAGTTTATTAATAGCTGTGATGATACATTAAAAGAAATATCAGAGCTTTTAGAAGATATGGAAACTACTGAAGCTGATGTAGAAGAGCATCTTCATGAAGATAAAAGTAATACAAACACATTCGTTCATTCAAGTTCATTAAAAGAACAAACGAATTTGGATACAACAAACCCCTTTTTAAATTCACCTCCTACTCAACAGCATCAAACTGTTTCTTCAGAACACCAAACACTCTCAGCAGATTCAATTCAGCCGCACTCTGGCTTACCTATCTTCAAAAAAATAAATAAACAGCATGACGAAAAAACAGGGTTCTTCGCTACCTTAAAAATTACTTTATGTTCACCCATCAAAAGTGTAATTCATCTTGGTGAATTTATGTAAATATTAATGTTTAAGTAATTTTGTGTATCCTGGTATATATTATTATTATTATTTGTGTGTGTGTGTGTGTGTGTGTGTTTTTTTTTAGTATTGCAGCTGCAACAGATGATGGTCAAATATATGTTATTGATATTGATAAACAGCTTATATTATTTTCACATAATATTACACGTAAGTTATTTGTAAAAATTAAATTCAACGGTTTTAATTTTATTAAATAATATACACACTTGTTATATAGAATCAGATTATCAAAATAACACTGTTAATTCTTCTTCGAATCTATCAAAAGCAGATACAGAAGCAAATTGTAATAGCATTTCAAAGGATAAACCTGCATCCATTACAACGCTTAAATTTTTCAACACATATTCATCTACTAAAGGTGAGTCTTTAGGTTTTTAGCATCTATCTATTTTACTCATTATTTATGTATATATTTTTAGCAATCACTCTCACTACACAACTTTATGTTAGTTTGAGTAATGGCCATATATACCAATTTGATTTATCACAAATCAAGAAGAGACTTGTCGTCACTCCTGAAAATGTGAATGAATTCTTGGCTTTTAAACTTACTCCGGCCGTATCATTAGTAGATATGCATATTATTGATTTACAGCAAAAAAAATCAGTAGTTGCTTTTGATGAAATAGTATCTGAAGAAGATAATTTAGTACCTATCAAGAAGACAGATACATCAACATCATCTATTGAATCCTCTGTGTCATCATCTGATGATCAAGTAACTAGTAGCAATAGTACAAACTATACTCTAACCAAACGAATAGCTGCTATTGGTAAAGCTGACTATCGACATCAAGAAAACCCTCATCTTATTATTTTTGTTTCTACTACTGGCATTAATGTATGCTTGTCTGGTTGTAATATTAAATTATTTTCTAAAGATTTCAATCAAAATACAGAAGTTAAAATACTCAAAGGTGAAATAGTGACATCAAATAGTACGTATAATACTTGTGTTTTTCTTTAAAGAAAAAAAAAATCTCGCTTGCTCACTATTTATTTTTTTATTTATTTATTATCAATATAGATAGTGTTTGCCTCTGTTTACTTTCAAGTAATGGTAAACTTAGTTTTTATTCACTTCCAACACTAGAAACAATGTTAGAAATGAATTTGCCTAGCAATTGCCAATTAAATAGGTTACAAGAAGCTTCTATTAGTTCAGATGGTCGTATTATCTTTTGGACTGGAGCATATGAATTGGAGCAATACTCATTTATTCCTAAACCTGATCTGTAAGTTTATACTTGCCTCAAAAAAAAAAAAAGAGAGAGAGAGAGAGAGGGAGAGAAGAGTTTTTTTTTTTTTTTTTTGACAAATGTTATATAGTAAGATTGGAGAGTCAGTATTTCTTTTCGATCCACAAAGAGCTATTCCACCACATCCATCGAATTTATTACAGAAACAACAACAACGTAATAAAAAATCATGGCTGGATACAATAACGAATTCTTTTCAAAAGGAACCTTTAACATTAAACGAGTTAGATTTATTAAGTAAGTGAATACGATGATACATATAAATTGCTAAGTCTCCGTCTTCTTTTTTTTTTCTTTTAATAAAGTGGGACGTGTTCCAGCAGAAGATCCTAATGAAATTAGAAGACAAAAGGTAGAAGCTTATAAAGCTACAATAGAACAACAGCAACAAAATGGATCATCTATTGGAAGCAACAAAGGCTTGGGCAGTGTCTTTTCTCAACTTGGAGAAAAGATGAATGAGCGTGGAGAAAAGTTAGATCAATTAGACAAAAAATTTCAAGACATGAATACTGCTTCAGGTGACTTTTTGAAAGCTATAAAAGATTATAATGAACGTCAGGCTCGTAAGAAATGGTGGGAATTTTAATATATACCATTCAATTTATTTAAGAAATAAATTTATATCATTTAGAAATATTTCAAATTTAATGAATTTCATTTACACACTTATAATCATCAAACTGGGTTTAATTTACATGCAAACTTAAACTTAGTATCAGTTTGATAATCACTAGTTGTACACGTATTTCCAGATCAATTATAAATAATAACTATAGGAAATAATGTGTAAGTGGACCGAGCTAAGTATGATAAGATTAGACGAAATGTATCAGGAATATAGCTTAGATTTACATTCTCTCATTTTAACTAGCAACACATATTTATTACATCTACTTCTCTACCTTCACAAGCTTAGTAGTAACTACCATTTGGTATCAATAGTCATAAAATTACATGTGGTAACAACTTGGGTCTCAATCAAGTATACTGGATAATAAATAATAAAAGGTCTCCAGCTTGCTTAATTTCATGACCATTTCCTCTTGCTTCTCTTTGATGCAGATGTTAATTTATTCCTCTTTTTTTTTTTATCAACGTTATCTGATTCAATTTTTTAGTAGTTTATGTCTTACTTTAAACATAGTCGTTATATAAGCTGATATTTCTGTTGTCTTCCATGTGACTAGTCTTGCATTTTCTTATAGCAACCACTCCCATGAACTATGTAATTCAATGTCTTGACATATATCAATATCCACAAGTTTTAACTGGTATTATACATGTCTCTTTATTCTTGAAATGATAGCCCAATTTTTATCTCATCGTTCCCTTTTGTCTTTAATGTTGGTCAACTATGTGGAATTCTATATAAATCGATGCCTCCTATATCACTTGATATGTAAACTAACTTTTTCCACTTTAACATAATAAAAACTTATTATTTTTTGACTTTTTATTTCTTTAACTATTTTAGCATTTCCTATTTATAATGATTTAACTTTCATAGGAAGCGCATATGCATCTCATACCCCTTTAAAATATTTCAGTTAATTTTTAACAGCAACAACAATAACAAAAAAAAAAAAAAAAAAAAAAAAAAAAAAAAAAAAAAAACGACCTCAAAGTTTGCGGAGATATTAATGGCCGAAGAAAAAAAAAAAAAAAAAAAAAAAAAAAAGAGGGGATACGTTGCAGTGGAGTTTAATATGGAGCATTATGAAGAAACTAAACCAAATTTTCAAAGAAAACGTATTTACCTTTAAACAATGGCACCTTTTTACGCCGTAAAATCGGACAATGTCCTTAAAAGAGTTGAAGGTATACTAAAAATTAGATAGATGGATGGATGGATGGATAATTTAACTATTTTATAGAACTCCAAGCAGTTGGTGAAGATGAGGCTGCATTGCAAGCTCTTCATGAAGTTGTCCTCTCAAAACGTTCACGTAGCAATCCCATCACAGTTATGGAACCCATTATGCTCAAATATGTTGAACTTTGTGTAGAACTTAAAAAAGGAAAGATGGTGAAGGAAGGTCTTCATCAATATCGTAACATTGCTCAAAACACTAGTGTCAACTCCATCGAAGTAAATTTAAATTTTAATTAAATTTTTTAATGACGCACATGCTGATTTATTTAAATTCGTTAGACCATTATCAACAAAATGCTTTTACTAGCTGAAGAAAAAGTCGCTGAAGCTCGCGCTAAAGCTGATAAAATTGCTGTAGATGTTGACGATTTAGAAGCTTCAGAAACACCTGAATCCATCATGCTTAGCACTGTTTCTGGTGATCAAACCAAGGACAGAACTGATCGAGCTGTCGTTACACCCTGGCTTAAATTTTTGTGGGAAGCTTATCGTACAGTTTTAGATATCATGCGAAATAATTCTCGTCTTGAATCACTCTATCACGCAGTTACTCTCAAGGCTTTCCAATTCTGTTTAACATATGATCGTAAGACTGAGTTCCGTCGACTTTGTGAAATTTTGCGTAATCATTTTGTCAACGTGGCTAAATATTCTCATCAACCTCATGCTGTTAATTTGAATGATCCTGAAACACTTCAACAATATTTGGAATCACGTTTTGCTCAATTAAATGCTGCCGCTGAACTCGAATTATGGCAAGAAGCCTTTAAATCAGTTGAGGATATTCATACCTTATTAACAACTTCTAAGAGACCTCCTAAGCCTATTATGATGGCTAATTATTATGAAAAACTTACCAAAATTTTTATGGTCTCTGAGGATTACCTCTTCCATTCTGCTGCCTGGAATAGATATTCAACTATTGAACGTGCAATTAATAAAAACTTGACTGATGATGAACAATCACGTATGGCTTCTATTGTCTTGTTATCTGCTCTTGCTATTCCTATCATCACCACCACAAAGACACGTCCTGGTTATGTAGAAGCTGATGAATACCGTGTTCAAAAACTTAACCGTCTTTCTATGCTCATGGGTCTTACTGCTCACCCTACCCGTACTGGCCTCTTAAAAGAAGCTCTTAACAAGAATATTCTCTCTCGTGTTCGTCCTGAAATTCGTGATCTCTACAATATTCTTGAAGTTCAGTTCCATCCTTTATCTATTTGCAGAAAGATCAATCCAATTATGACTAAAATTTCTGAAGATCCTGATTTGGCCAAATACGTTCGTCCTCTTCACCAAGTTATTTTGACTCGTCTCTTACAACAACTTTCTCAAGTCTATACAACTGTCAAGTTGGACTTTGTCTTGAATTTGGCTTCTTTCCCTACTCCTTTCAATTATGATGCTGCTACAATTGAAAAATTCATTATGAATGGCTGCAAGCGAGGCGAACTTAATATTCGTATTGATCATGCATCCAAGAGTTTGACATTTGAAACTGACTTATTTGCTCCTCCCAAGGACACTGTTATGGAAGGTATTCAATTACAATCATCACCTGCTGACCTTATGCGCACTCAACTTTCTCGACTTGGTGTCAGTTTGAATGCTGTTGTTCAAATGATTGATCCTACAGTTAAGGAAATGGCTGCCAAGGCCAAGCAAGATGCTATCCAACGTGCTTTGAAGGGTGCTGAAGAAGAACATAAACAAGCACTTGAGCGTAAGGTGATCATTGAACGTCGTAAGGAAGTTATTGAAACTGAATTGGCCCGTAAAGAAAAATTGGCCGCTCAAGAAAGAGCTCTTGCAGCTGCTAAGAAGGCCGAAGCAGAAAAGAAACGTATGGAAGAGGAGAAGAAGCGACGTGAAGAAGAACGTCTTAGACGAATTCAAGAAGAAATTCAACGTGATCAAGCCAAACGTATTGCAGAAGAAATCTCAACAAAGACTGGATTGCAGTTGAAGCCAGAGGAAATTGAACAGTCTGATGTGAAGACCTTATTAGATCTCAAGGTATCTCGTCTCCAAAGCGAGCAAAAAGAACTTAGTGATCGTCTTAAGCAAATTAGTAAACGTCTTGATCATACTGAACGTGCTTACAGAAAAGAAGAAATTCCTCTTTTGGAAAAAGATTATCAACAACAACAAAAGGCTGATAAGGCATTCTATGAAGTTTCAAAGAAGACTGAATTGGCAGCTGCTAAGGCTAAACATGAAGAAAACATGAAACTCAAGTCTCGTTTCTCACGTATCATTGTTGATTACAGAACATTCAAGAGCCGAATTGAAGCCGAGTTACAAAAGATCAATGAAGCCAAACAAAAGGCTGCAAATGAAATGATTGAAAAAGAAAAGCAAGAAAGAATTGCTTTGTGGCGTGAGAAGAAGGCTGAATTGGATAGAAAACGTCAAGAAGAAGAAGCAGAAAGAGCTCGCAGAGAACAAGAAGAGCGTGAACGTGCTGAGGCTGCTGAACGTGAACGTGCTGAACGAGAAGCTAAATTAGCTAAAAAGAAGGAAGAAGAAGCTGAAAATCAAAGAAAATTGGATGAAATTGCTAGAAAGCAAGCCGAGCGTGAAGCTGAAATTGAACGTAAACTAGCAGCTGAGAGAGCTGCACTTTTGGCAGCAACAACAACAGCAGCACCAAAGACAGGTGCCTATAAGCCACCTGCTGCTCGTACTCGTGGAGCTGGACTTGAGCGTTCTGAAACAGGTTCTTGGCGAAATGCTGGTCGTGCTTCTGCTTCTGAATCAAATGATAGTGAATGGAGACGTGTTGGTGGTAGTCGTCGTGCTGAAGTTGAGAAATCCGAAAATGATGGCTGGCGAAGTGCTTCTCGTCGTCATGAAAATGAAAGACCTAGCGAAAGACCCAATGAAAGACCTAGTGAAAGACCTAGTGAAAGATCTAGCGATGGTTTATGGCGACGTGGTGGAGGTAATGCTGGTGGTTTTGGTCGTCGTATTGAAAAAGAACGTTCTGATGAAAATTCCTGGAGACGCGGTGGTAGCAGTCGTCGTACGGATGAAAGTTCCTGGCGTCGTTAAAAATCATAAATAAAATATATTAGTTTCCTCTTTGTTTTGATGTATTACTTTTAAATAAACCGTATTTCCCGTATTCATATACGAAATATACAAATTTTGCTTTTTGAAATAAATGTAAGGAATCATACTTGTTGAATTATAATAAAGCTTTTTTTTTTTATGATTATGTATCTTTATCTTCTTTATTATTAAGCTTAGTATCAATCCTAATGGCATACCATGATTCAATTAACTATTATCTCTATATTTCTCCTACACATTATTATAACTCATGAATAGAAAGTTTGTGACAATAGCTTCGCTAGCTAAAGATAAGATATGATGACAAGTTTATCAATATTGCACAAAGCAAATTATGTTATAGGCCACTTGATGAACATGACACATCAAAATATATTTAGATGTTTTCTAGCTATTCTGCTATAATAAAGCTATATTATGTATAATAATCTTTAAGTACACTATAGTTTCTAACTAACCCCCCCCCGTTTTTACCCCATATCCTCTAAAGAAAAAGGAAATTATTTAAGTCTTATATAAATAATATTCTAGCAATATTGGAGAGATATTCGCTATAACATCATATATCATAATATACTATGAAACAAACGAATATGCCACAACTATGATAATCTTCGCTATAACTAAAGCTGCGCTAATTTTTTTAATTTTTTATTTTTTATTTTTTATTTTTTTTTTTTTTAATTTTTTTATTTTTTTTTAATTTTTTTTTTTTTTTTTCTCTTTCTCTTCTAATAACTTTCTAATGAGTGCTTACGGATCAGGAAAAGCAGTAAGTTCTATACTATATACATATATAGATATAGATATATATCATTCTCAAATTAAACCAAAAATATTAAATATATATATACATATAGAAAGATACTGATTTCAGACGTACTTGGGATAGAGATGTGTATGCAGCTAAAGCAAAAGAGCGTGAAGCTCGAGATCGTATGGCGGAAATCAATGAAGAGCGAAAAAAGCAAGGCTTACCCCCTCTAAAACCCAAAAAGGACCCAAAAGATGAAGAAAAAAAGAAAGCACTAACACATCGTGAAGGAAAAGTTGATCTGGAAGCCAATGTAGGTAAAATCCAAGTTGTTCAGTCCATCGATTCAAGAAAACAACCTGGCTTTTATTGTAAAGCTTGCGATGTTACTATTAAAGATAGCGTAACGTATCTTGATCATTTAAATGGCAGAAAACGTAGGTTAGTTTTAAACTATATAAATTAATTGATATTGAACACTATTATTTTGTTATAGATCTCAGTAATGTCGGTGTTTCCACTAAGGTTGAAAAAGCAGACTTGAATGCAGTCAAAGAACGATTGGCAATGTTAAAAAGAAAAAGAGAAAATCCTGAAAAGGAAGAATACAGTATGTATTTTTGAAATTAGTTTTGCATTAGACTAATTATATAATTATAGATCTTGATGAAAGATTAGCGGCATTAAAACAACAGGAAGAAGAAGAAAGACGAAAAAGAAAAGAAAAAAGAGACAAAAGAAAGAAAGTAAGAAGAATAAGTCAGAGAACGAAGATAACAACGAGGATGAAATGGCAAAGTTGATGGGATTTTCCGGTTTTGGTTCGTCAAAAGCTTGAAATGTGTGCATAAAAGTGCTGATTATACATATTAAAAACAAAAGAAGAAGACTATTGATATTTATAAGAAATATCTTGTAGATAATTTTGAAATAAACAAAACTAATGTGTTCATTCTTAGTAAAATATAGTAGAGCTAACTTTAAGGACTAGAAATTATATTTGTAAAGAAGAGATAAAATAGTGTGTCATATTTATACACTTTAATGTTATAATAGAATGTGCCAAATTCAAAGTTTTGTGTAGTCATATTAGACACGATGTAATAAAAGCACATAACGAATGTATAGAAATAATACAGATAACTGTAACTAGTATTATAGCAAATCAAGCAACCATTTATATGATTAAATTGTATATATTTGTATTACGTAATAAACCTGCTGTTCATAGATAAAATAGTTGTAATAAGCTTAATAACATTTCATTGACTATAATAGTACACGTAATAGTTTAGTATGAAAGCAATAAAATTCAATAATAATTCAGAGACAACGACAAGAAGGCTCTGAATAATGCTTACTTTTCTTCCTTCTATTTACTGATCCGACCCGGGCAAATTTGATATATTAGATAATATCTTATGCTTATTGGGCCTTCAAATTTATTTACAAATAAAAGTACTTAATAAATGTGTCTCAGATGAAAATACTTAGCACGAAAAGGCGATTTATTGGCTGTTTGCGTATTTAGTTTCTCCTTTTTTTTTTTTCTTAACTTGAACAAGAAATGCAAAATCAAGTAAATTCAATTCCTCTCGTGGACACCAATTCTTTACGTTCAGCGCAATATGGTATAACTGAATAAACTATACAACTGTGTAGTGTGTATTTATTGTTGAATTTATAGCTGCCATTGTAAACATGCTTAATCTGAATTCACCATTGAATCAAACTGAAAACAATCCAGAAAATATAGTCTGGAAAGTTTTAATCTTTGATAAGCTAGGACAAAATGTTATTTCATCAATTATGCGTGTTAGTGATCTTCGTGAAAATGGAGTAACAGTTCACATGTAAAAAATAAAATAAAATAAAATAAATGAATAAAATGAAAAATAAATTATATACTGATATCATGTATTAGGCTTTTATCACAGGATAGATCTCCATTACCTGATGTACCTGCTGTATACTTTGTTGAACCTACTTTGGAAAATGTCAAAAAAATTTGTGAAGTATGAGCATCATAACCATAACAAATGTAATTTACACATATTCTAATATAATGATGACAGGATTTAAATCGTAATTTATACGATTCATATTACATTAATTTTTGTTCAACTGTACCTCGTCCTATTTTAGAAGAATTTGCAACCAAGACGATTGCTGATAATACCTCTGATATGGTGACTCAAGTAAATATAAATAACAACATGGAATAACACGATTTGACTCAATATTTAATAATTAGGTTTATGACCAATATCTTAACTTTATCTGTACAAATCCCAATGTGTTTTCCCTTAATCAACCAGATGCATTTATTAATTTAAATAACCCAGCTGCTACTGAAAAGATGATTGAAGAAACAATCGATAAAACTGTTAATGCTCTTTTTTCGGCTATTATCACTATGGGTGTAATTCCTGTCATTCGTTGCCCTCGAGGTAATGCAGCTGAAAGTATAGCAACTAAGCTCGATAGTAAACTACGTGATCACGTTCTGAGCAGAACAGATACTACAAGTTTACAACGTCCTGTTTTGATTTTGTTGGATCGAAGTATGGATTTAACTCCCATGTTGAGTCATTCATGGACCTATGAAGCACTCATTCATGATGTTCTGGATATGAAGCTTAACCGTATTACCATTGTAGAACCTAATAACAAAAAGAAAAGTTATGATTTAGACGCTAAAGATTTCTTCTGGACAAAGAATGCGTCTAGTCCTTTCCCTCAAGTAGCAGAAGATATTGATATTGAGTTAAATAAGTATAAAAAAGATGCGGCTGAAATTACGAATATGAGTGGTGTATCATCCTTGGAACAGGTTGATATGTCATCAAACACAAAATTATTAAAATCAGCTATCAATGCCTTGCCTGAATTAACAGCTAGAAAAGCTACTTTAGATATGCATATGAATGTAGCTACTACGTTATTAGGAGCTATCAAGGATCGACAATTAGATACATTTTTCCAACTCGAAGAAAATGTGACAAGACAAACAAAGAACACATTGTTGGAAGCCATTTGTGATGGCGAAAAGAAAGACCCTGAAGATAAAATGAGGTTATTTTTAATTTATTATCTTTCTACAGTCGAAGAAGTTCCAAAAGAAGATATGGAAGCGTATGAAAAGGCACTTGCTGAAGCTGGATGTGATATGGAGCCATTAAATTACATTAAAAAGTAAGATAAAGAAAGAGTAAAGAAATACAATTAAATATAGATAATAATGATATATACTGAATAGAGTACGTGCTTTAATGCGTATGACATCGATGATTTCATCACCTGCTCAACCATATACAGCTGGATTTAATCAAACTGATTTATTCCGTGGCTTCAGTAGTATAAGTAATAAGGTAAGTTATATATATATATATGTATATATACATATATGGTACGGTAATATTTAATGCAAATGTGTAGTTGTCTGATAGGTTAAAGGAAGGTGGATTAGGTGGTGGATTTGAAAATTTATTATCAGGAGTGAAGAACTTGCTACCCGCACGAAAGGAGCTTGTAGTCAGTAAAATTGTTTCTGATATTATGTCACCATCACAAAATAGTGAAGCCAATGATTATCTTTACTTTGATCCTAAAGTCAATAAGAATTCAAAGTCTTCTTCTTCTTTGCGTCAACATAAAATTAGCTTTCAAGAGGCTATTGTATTTGTTGTAGGTGGTGGCAATTATGTTGAATATCAAAATTTGCAAGAGCTTGCTACAGTAAGTTATATTTTTTCTCTTTTCAATTTTTTTTTTGTTTACATTCTTATTTATACATGTCTATAGCAAAATAATTCAAAGAGAAAAATTACTTATGGTTCTACTGAAATTTTATCTCCACATGAGTTTTTAAATCAATTAGCTACTCTTGGAAAATTAGCATAAATAAATATCACGTGACTTTATAAAAATAGATAAAAAAAAAGAAAAAGAATATTATGGCCTATTTTTTTATATTTTATTCTTTAATTATAATAATAAATGTATTTTCCCGGTCAAGGATATACAACAGGGGGATATTATCCATCCTCAGGTGGATATCCTCATCCACAACAGCAATACCCACCTCCCAACGGATATTACCCACCTCCATCCTATTATCCTCAGCCGCAATCCTATCCACCACCTAATCAAGGATATGCACCGCCTAATCAAGGATATGCTCCACCTAATCAAGGATATGCTCCACCTAATCAAAACTATCCTTCTCATCCTCCTCCACCTATACCTCCCCGTTTCGATCCTACCTTTTCACCTAACGATCCAACAGTTGCTCAAGCCAACTATCCTCAACCACCTCATTCTACTTATAACCAATCGCCAAATCCAGGTAAATGTTCCTTTTTTTTTTTTTTTTTTGTTTATTAAAGTAATAATGTATTATTGTTAACCTATAATAAAGTACCTTACATTCCTAATAATGTCAACATGAATGATTTTATTTTACATGTCGATCCAAAGTATAGAAATGCACCACCACCTCAATTCCAATTATCTAACTGTAAGTTATATCCTATTATATATTTATAAAGATATAATCACTAACTTTAGAATAGGTCAAGGAAGAAAAAGGGCTTTATTAATCGGTATTAACTATTTTGGTACATCAGCTGAATTAAGAGGTAAATTAATCAGTATTTGACATATAACCTACTAATATATACATTTATATATATGTGTATATTATTTATTTAAATATGTCTGTATAATATAGGCTGCATTAATGATGTTCATAATATGAAAAATTTCTTGATTACTTTGTACAACTTTCGTGAAGAAGATATGGTTATATTGACAGATGATCAAACAAATCCCAAAAATATACCAACGAAACAGAATATAATCACAGCTATGCAATGGCTTGTTCATGACTCAAGACCTAATGATTCGTAAGAGAACAAAAAGACAGAGAAATAAACATTATGTTTGCACTCATATATATATTTGAATAGATTCTTTTTCCATTTTAGTGGTCATGGTGGCAGAGTAAGTTATAAAGTATATAAATGTATTTATATAAAACTAATATATAATAGATGAAAGATTATGATGGAGATGAAGATGATGGATATGATGAAACTATTTATCCTGTAGATCATGCCATTTATGGACAAATTGTAGATGATGTAAGTTTCTACACAAACTCGATGCATGTATTTTCATTAATGTTTCGTAGATGATGAATGATATTATGGTTAAGCCACTTGCTACAGGTTGTCGATTAACAGCCATTTTCGATTCTTGCCATTCAGGGACTGCTCTTGATTTACCTTATGTTTATTCAACTCATGGAGCTATCAAAGAATCTAGTTTCTTTAAAGATGCTGGTAGCAATCTAAAGAATGCAGGATTAGCTTATTTATCTGGAGATCCCTCTCGAGCCATTTCTTCTGTCATGTCTTTAGGATCAAGGTTACTATCAGGATCGCAGAGTCAGGCACAAAAAGAGCGTATTAAGCAACTTAAAGGATCACCTGCAGATGTAGTTATGTTCTCGGGATGTAAAGATGATCAAACCTCAGCCGATGCCACCGAAGCTGGTCGAGCTACTGGCGCCATGAGCTATGCAATTACAACTTCTTTAAGACAAAATAGAAATCAGTCGTATATTCAGTTATTAAATTCAATTCGACACATTTTACGACAAAAATATCAACAAAGACCTCAACTTTCTTCATCTCATCCAATGGATATGAATCTATTGTTTATCATTTAAAATACAGCCTTTTATATTTTTTATTTTATTTTAGTTTATTTTTTATTTTTATTTTATTTTTTTTATTTTTTCATATAAACTATAAATACATTCTTTTCTTTATTATGGCTACAAAAAAAAACTCTAAATTAAAGACCTATCTAGATTCAAATTTCATTGAGTTTAATAGTAATTCTGATCGGTTGAAAGCTCTATATTCTGATTTTTCTAAACTTTGGATATTAAATAAATATGGTTATGATTCTCATGTGAGTTATTGGAGACGAATTATACTTGACTGTAACCAGCAAGGTTATTTAAGATCTGTAGATTATGCTATCGTGATTGATCAAGATACGATTGCAGAACAATTTCAAAGATCACTCATCGGTAAACCTTTGGCACTTGATTGTGTGATTGTAAAAGCCAATGCATATAATTTATTGTGTTTTTATAAATGTATATATTAAAGATTATATTATAGGAACAAATGATTAAAGAAGAAGAATTGATCCCACTTGAAGATTATAATACAAAATTTGCATTACCTACAACTTGGTTTGGTTGGATTGTTGATACTGTTATTAAGAATACCTGGCAGTGGCGATGGCGTTCTGAAGGATTAAGTCATCCATCAAAACATTATGTGGTGTTACCTACTGTAAAGGCTATCGCCAAGTCCATCTTGAGTCAGCATTTATCACATGGAAATAATAATAGACATTTGATGACACTTTCTCAATTTAAACAATTATATAGTCATCACTTTGTAAATGAAATTGAGCTGACAGATGCTGATCTATCGCTCCTTTTGAGATATTTGCATTCACAACATGGAGTTGCGCTTGCAGATCATGTAAAAGGGTATGGTACAACCTATATGATTATTAAATTTCCTGAAAGAGAAGATCAAACAGCGACTATTACACAAAATGATGAGGCTCTGATCAACATTCGGACAACCTGCTATGCATTATCAGTACAAGTGGATGAGTTACAAAAGAAATCAGAAGAGTATGTCTTTACATAGTGTAAACAATATTCTGCTGACGTTATTAGTATGATAGGTTAGGAAAAGAGGCCTTAGAAGAAAAGAAAAAAGGACATAAAGCCAAGGCATTCTACTGTTTAAAACGTAAAAAGAATCTTCAAGAAGTACTTGAAAGAAGATTAAAGTCAATGGAGACCATGGATACTATTTTAATGAAAATTGAATCTTCTCAAGATGATATCCAAGTAAGAAGATAATGGTAATAGTAGGCTTTTTACTAACTTTTTTTTTTTTTTTTTACATTAGGTTATACAAGCCTTTAATATGGGTGCAAAAGCATTAAAGAACTTATTAGGTAAAGATGGACTCAGTGTCGAATCTGTGGATGATGCGATGGAAAAGATACAAAGTGTTTTACAAGATCAAAAGGAGATTGAGGAAGCTCTTAGGATTGGGACAGAAGATATTAATGATGTTGATGATCAAGAAATTGAGAATGAATTAAATGAATTAATTAAAGATTATGATAAAGTAGCAATACCTCCGTCTAAACACGTGACAGATCATAAAGAAGCAGATGATGATCATGTTCAATCCGAGTTGTCAAGGTTAAATCATTTATTTTCATCCGTTAAAAACACACCAACTAATTTATCTAGCGAGAATCAGACTTCAGCTAATAGAAAACAAGAATTTGCATCTTAAAGCATAACATTGTGTTATTCATGAATAAAGTTCAATAATTATCTATTATAAATCAATGATTAAGAAGAAGGAAAATAAGCAAATTTAGTAACTGATATCAACATTATTGTGTCATGTTTGTAATAACCTTAAGAATACTTTTTTGGTATATTACTTTAATAATAAGCTCAGTCTAATGATCTTTGTAATCTACATGTTTTTTCCTAGAAGAAGAAGATAAAATTACAATCATGTATAAATAAGCATTCACTAAAATGAAATAGCCCATTATCCTGGTTGGTAAAACAAATAAATGGGATGGTGTAAGTATAGCCTTTATTATTATTATTAATGCCAAACTTGGTCAATAAAAGGAGTTGTTGGTATTTTAGAAAAAATCATAGTCATTTTTAAATAGATAATTATACTGTATTTTCATTCATATATGTATACATATTTGTATGTATATAAAAACTTGCTCCATTATATTCTTTTATTATTGCAAGTTGGGAATAAATAAAGCTACCAAAATTAAGTCAAACATCTTTATAATGTTATAATTTGTAAATCTAATGTCATCTCTCTTGGAAGAACATTAGTGTTTATTTATTTGACTATAACAATTAATAGTAGCTACATGGATTATAAAGAATTGAATCATTAAAATAAAGCCTTTTTATAATTTAAACTAGTCATGTTCAAGTAAAGATTACTTATTTATGTGCATAAAAATATAATCGTCACATAAATTTTTAAATCAGCAAAGTTGACATTTATTAGTGTATTTTATAATACATTTTGTCATTTTCTTTTCACTCTCTCTTTCTCCCTATTATTTTATTTATTTTCCTTTAATTATCATTCTATTAGAAAAATGGTTGTAGAAACTAAATATTACGAAATTTTAGAAGTAACAACTGATGCTACAGATCATGAGATTAAAAAAGTAATTTGAATCTAATTTGACTAGTACCCTTGTCTAACATATTTTATAGGCTTATAAAAAATTGGTAAATGAATATATCATATAATAATGTATGTGTTAATAAATTTATTATAGGCTATGAAATATCATCCTGATAAAAATCCCGACGAAGGTGAAAGGGTATGTTATCATCTTTTTATAAGGTTCTATATCCCATCTTACGTATAGATATTTTTTTAGTTTAAAGAAATTTCTCATGCTTATGAAATTCTTTCCGATCCTGAATCTCGGGCTCAATATGATCGATTCGGTGAAGAAGGACCAGGAGGAGGTTATGGAGGTGGCATGTCTGCTGACGATCTTTTTGCAAACTTGTTTGGTGGCACGTTTAATTTTGGAGGTGAAGCAGATTTTGGTTATGACATTCCACGTCGTTCACGTAAAGGAGAAAGTATAAAATATCCACTTTCTGTTAAGCTTGAAGACCTCTATCTTGGAAAAAAAACAAAACTTGCTTTAGAAAAGAATGTGATTTGTTCCAACTGTGAAGGGTAAGCAAATGAATCGAATATAAAGATATTATAAATTAATACTTGTTATATAGTAAGGGAGGTAAAACAGGTGCAACAAAAAAATGCAGTGCCTGTAAAGGTCGTGGTTTCCAATTAGCTATGCGCCAAGTAGGTATGGGTATGATTCAACAAATGCAAGTTCCTTGTGGAGAGTGTGATCATACTGGTTCTGTAGCAAAGGATAGATGTAAAAAATGTAAGGGCAAAAAGGTGACAGTAGAAAAGAAGTTTCTTGAAGTCTTTATCGAAAAGGGTATGGAAAATGGCCAAAAGATTGTTATGAAAGAAGAGGGCGATCAAGAGGTATGTTTTTTTTAAAAAAATAAAAAAAGAAAAATTGTCATCTATTTTATGATATTCACTTTGTTATATAAGCCTGGAATTGAACCTGGAGATGTTATCCTTGTTTTGAATCAAAAGGAACATGAAGTATTTAAACGTAAAGGAAATGATTTGCTTGTGAAAGTCAAGATTTCATTAACAGAAGCACTTTGTGGATTTGATCGAGTCATTATAACGCATTTAGACGGTCGTGGTATTCAGGTGAAACAACCTGCAGGCAAAGTGATTAAACCGGGTATGATAAAGCGTATTCCTAATGAGGGTATGCCTACCTATAAACGTCCTGATACACATGGTGATCTTTATATTGAATTTGATGTTGAATTCCCTCCTGATAACTTTACTAATCAGCTTGTTCAACTGGAATCTATCTTACCTAAGCGTACAAAGCAAACTTCTTCGCAAGAAATTATTGATGAATGTGGTTTAATTGATGCTTCAATTGAAGCTTTTGGAGCATCTAGTTATTCACGTAATGCATACGATGAAGATGCTAGTGATGATGATGAACAAAATGGTGGTGTTCGTTGTGCTCAGCAGTAAATAAAATTACTAATAATACACTTGTACATTTATTGTAATAATAAATATATATCTATATGTAAATAAACATTATGTATTTATATATGTATACTGAAAGCCTATCTATTTTATCTTTTAACGAATAAATACACATACAATAAATGAAAAAAAGGGAAAATAATGACAAGATATACACCGCTGGTTTTCCATTTACCGCGATATATTTATAAACATATAAAACGTATTTAAATACGTACATGAAGCTATACTCTATTGTATGTAGAGAATGAGTCATGACAAGGATACTATCCTATCAATTTTTATAAAGTCAGTATATAGATATTTACTCTAATGAAATGTGTGGCAGCGTATTGTCGAGGCGTATCTTTCCTCTTCTCTTACTACCCATCTGCTTCTATTATACAAGTATCTTGACAGTCAACAAACATGAAGCATAAGACAAAAACAAGAAGCTTTTTATTATTATTAAAAAAAGAAGTCAAAACATTTTATTCACTTTTCAGTACGCAATTATAATACATATTTCTTTATTTTCAATAATCCTCCTCATCATCGTCATCAAATGGATCAAGATGGTCTTCAGAATGGACATTACTTCTAGGAGGCGGTGATCTTTGACTGTTAGTAGTTTCCATTCGCTGTTGTTGAGCACGCACTTTTCTTTGTTTATTTAATTCTTCACAAGCATCAATCCATGCAGAGTAAACATCGATAGGCTCATCCAAATCTATCAAAATAAATTAAAATTATGCTCATTCTTTTTTTTTTTTTGTATACACTATATTTACAAGTAATCGTATCCTGCCAGCTAACACCACAAATTTTGCAACTTAATATTCCAACTTTATTTTGATGGTCACTTTAGATAAAAGTCAGTCTTAAAAAAAAATACATGTATTCATATGTATTCTGTCGTAAATAAACTTACATTTTACATTCGATACTATTTTCGTGATTACAAAATAGACAATTAAACTGTGTATCGAGTTTTTCTTTAAGCTTCTTTTGAGGCTTTCTCTTTGTCTTTCTTTTACCCTAATTTAAACAGTTAAATGTTATTATTCTTTATCATATAAACAAAACATGTTTACCATTTTGATTCAACAGTAAGATAAAAAAAAAATAAATAAATAAATAAAAAAAAAAAAAAAAAAAAAAAAAAGAGCCTAAAATTATAATTTTTAAATAATTAGCTATACGCGCACCACGAGTTTTTTTTTTTTTTTTTTATGAAATCATTTATTTTGTTTTTAGCTCTTTTTCATCCTTTTTTTTTTTTCTAATAATCTATGTCGGATTTTAAAGGATTCATTTTTTACAATCCAAAACATGATGACCAAATAAGCATAAAGGATGAAGAAACTACAATAGACAAAACAATAACTGATTTGAGTTTTCAATTCAGTCGCATTGGTGGAAGAGAGAAAAAAAATAAAAATCGTACATCAACACTTGCAAATAGATCGATTAAAGAAACTCAAGAAAAAAGAAGACTTTCAGCTTTAGAAATACAAAAGAAGGTAGGTAGTATTAAAATGAAATTAACGAGGATACAAATTTTAATAAAATAAAAAGCAACGACATATCTCTGTATCTAAAGTAAGACAAATAGCTTTAGGTACACTAGATGCAGATACAGAATCTGACACTGAAGAACAAGTTGAACAACCAAAAAGTACGAAAAGAGCAAGGGATTCTGAAGATGAGGATATGAAAGATGTTGTGTCAGCAAAGATTATAAAAATAAATCCAAGAAGAAAGAAGAATGATAAAAAGAAAAATAATAATATTTATATGTAAGTAAATAAATAGAAAAACATGTAATATATATCCTAATTCAATAAGAATAGGAATCAGATCATGTATGCTGAATACTTGGAGTCTATACCAGAAGACTTTATTGATAATTGGGTCACGATGATTTGTCCAATAGGTAAAAGATGTCTTGTTACTTCTGGAAATGGACAAACAATAGCACGTTCAAGGAATGGAAACATCATTAAACGATTTCAATCTATTTTACCAAGTGGATCAAGGCAAGTATAAAGAGGATAGATACAATTGGTAATAACTAACTTTATATATATGCATACAGAACAAGTCATACTTCTGAATACTGCATTTTAGATTGTGTATACGATGCTGTTCATTGGACCTTTTATGTATTGGATATCATGTGTTGGAAAGGATACCCTATTTATGATTGTGATACGAACTTTAGGTATAATAATTAAGCCTACATTTAATGACTAACTAAAATCCTTTCTTTTATACAAGGCATTTCTGGCTACAAACAAAAGTTGAGTTGAATGAATTTGATAAGCCTAACAATGAAAATCAGTTTTATAAATTTATAGCCTTGAAACCAGTTTTAACAAGTGAAACACAGTTAATTGCTGCTAATCCTGAAGATTATCTTTTAGAAAAACAAGGATTTACATATAATATTGATGGCCTTTTATTTTATCATCGACAAGCACATTATAAAGGAGGAAGTACACCTCTGGTTTGTTGGGTACCAAGAGATAAAATGTACAATTTGATATAATCATTTTAAAAAAGCAGTCATTATGAATTATTCATCAAGCCTTTTACTACTCTATTATCCTATTATTATTTTATTTTATTTTTTTTTCCCTTTTTCCCTTTTTTTATTGTAGTTATTCTTTCTTTGTATATACACAAATATATTATATACATACATACATACGCCTCTATTTAAACGTACATATAAAAATATACTTAATAATGTGGAGAAGAGAAAGGATGATGGTGGATGTTATTTCAATACAAACATCTTCAACAAAGTTACTTGTTAATCAAATACAGCCATTTACTACATCACCTCCTTTACAAAATAGACAATGCTATCCAATAGGTAAATTTCATGATGATACAAGTAATTTTTATGCTGGTAATGAATATACAAGCGATATAAAAAATAATAAGCGACTCTTCATATCATCAGACACAACCCCTACAACTTTTGCTCAAAACAATAAAAAACAAAAAATATAAGACATTTATTTAATCTTTCTTTAAAGGATGAAGTTGAATTTCAACTGGTTTGTCTTTACGAACAATAAAGATTTGAAGATTGTCACCAGTATAAATATCACGTTCTGTAGCAGAAGTAAATGCATCTTTTACAATTTTGAGTGCCTCATCTAATTCCATATCTTGAAAAGTTGTATTTTCCATATTTTTTTTATTAACCTAAAATAAACAATGTGAATATACGCATTTAAATTTTTCTTCTTCTTGTATGTTCATTTATTTACCTGATTATCTAAAAAAGGTTGAATTAAGGATGCAGCTGAACCATTGGCACGACATGATTCACGTTCAAAAGATCCAATAGCATCATAACAAAAGACAGCACCTCTGCCTTCTTCATCAACTCCACCTAACACACAGAAACTGTAATAAGGGAAGAAACGTTTTTGGTACAATGTGATTGATAACATTTGTGCCAAAGCAGTAACTGACATGTCCTTGTCGTGATTAAATTTATACCACTAGTAATAAAAAAAAACCACATTAAGAATCTATTCTTCCCTTCTTTAAAATAGTTTACCTTTAATCTTTGTTCGAGAACTTTTTTCAAAGTTAAACCATCCGCATGAAAGCCATTCATGGCAATAACTGAAGTCTCTGTTAATTTGTAAGCTTTAGGCGCATATCTGGAATTAATACTATAACCCGTGCTTTGTCTTGTATCAGAGGCAATAATACAAAAATCTTTTCCTGCAATTGCCAATGAAGTACTGTAGAATACTTTAAGTACTTTGTTATAACTTTGATTATATTTATTTATTTTTATTTTTTTACCCTCCATTATCATCATAAGGTTCAAATCGATGTTCAATAGGTACTGTTGTACTTGTTTCCATTGCGTAATTCTTGTTATAAAAGTTAAAAAGAAATGTTTAATTTTATACGACGCGCGGCTTTGAGCCTTTACCAATAAGCCGGCCAATAAGGAATTGAATTTCAGCTCTTGGGATAACGACGCGTGTCCTACTTCGTCATCGGCTGGTCAAATTAATATACTTTTTTTTATAAAAGTTATTGCCTTTTGGTTTTTTTTTTTTTTTTTTGGTTTTTTTTTATCTTTTATACATAAAAAATAATGAATAGATTTGTTTCCAGATACTCATCTTCGCCTTTAACTTTACCTCAAGAAGAAAGTTTTGGCCAACTTTGTGGAAAATGGGATGCTGCTCAGCAATTAGCTTTCCCTTCATTTGACATTCCTGCCATTCATAACGTAAATCAGCAAAACACCTCTTTTTTATTTTATATTATTTTATATTTTTTTTTTTTTTTGTTATGCTTCTAATATATTTTTTGTTTAGCCTATCGATTTCTTGAGAAATGTAACTGATGAAACATCACCAGATTATAAGATTAAAATCCAACACGGTACAACAACTCTTGCTTTTCAATTCCAAGGCGGTGTTATTGTTGCCGTCGATTCGAGAGCTACAATGGGCAATTATATTGGTTCTCAAACAGTAAAGAAAGTAATTGAAATCAATCCATATTTATTGGGAACAATGGCTGGTGGTGCAGCTGATTGTTCATTTTGGGAGCGTGAGTTAGGTAGACGTTGTCGTTTACATGAATTAAGAAATAAAGAACGTATTTCAGTTGCTGCTGCATCAAAGCTGTTAGCTAATATGGTTTATTCTTACAAAGGCATGGGCTTATCTATGGTAATATAGATAGTTATAGGCAATTTATCTTATTTAGTATTAACGTTATTCTTATTAAGGGTACTATGGTTACAGGTTGGGATAAATCTGTAAGTTGTTATAGATGATGATATTTGTATGCATATGTTAATTACATTATATAATAATTCATAGGGTCCAAACCTTTTCTATGTTGATTCTGATGGTTCCAGATTAAAGGGTGATATATTTTCAGTTGGTTCAGGTTCCACATTTGCTTATGGTGTGCTTGATTCTGGATATGATTACGATTTATCTGTTAAAGAAGCACTTGAACTTGGTAGAAGATCTATTTATCATGCTACACATCGTGATGCCATGTCTGGTGGTTCTGTTAATTGTAAGTTTAAATTTTGTGTATATATTCTATTTTATCCTAACTTGTATTTAGTATACCATGTTACTGAGCAAGGTTGGACTTATCATGGTAATCATGACGTTGGCAAACTTCACTGGGATTACCAAGATGGCATTGCGAGTGAAATTATCTAAATAAATATAAAAATTTAAAAAAAAAAAATAAAAATAAATAAATAAATGCTATTTTTTTTTTTCTTCTTTTTTTTTCATGACTGATTTAGATAAATTAGTTGATCAAGTTATTACTATTGACAATAGTAAAAGTCGAGAAGACATTCTTATTGATTTAAAACATACTAATAGTGTAGAAGCTACTATAAATAGAATATTTGATGGACAAGTTAACTACATAAATATACAAATACATATTATGCATGTTTTTCATTTTGACTAATTAATCTAAATTAGTTTCTTAATGGAACAGAGCGTGATCCCTCTTTATCAGCGATTATTATAGATTCAGATGAAGAACAAGAGGTAACTGTTCGATCAATGAAAGAAAGCACGTAAGTATGTCTATAAAATCTGTAAGTTTTATCTAAGTTTGTTTTTTTTCGTTATTTTTTTTTTCCCGTTTTTGAATGACTATAGATCTTCATCTCCTATTATACTTCAAGATAGTTCAGAAGATAATCTATTTAAATCATCTCAACAAACATCAATAGATGAACCTTTCTCTAAACCCAACTTGTCTCAATTATCTACCGTATCAAATGAATTCGATAATATTGAAACTAATAGTTATGATGACAACAATGATGTTCTGCCAATTTCTTCACCTCGACAGGAAATAAATTTTTTCAATCACAATCTAGAAAATGACTCTGATGAACTATCTTCATTGCCTTCGATGGATGAGTTTCTCGATGAAATTTTATCTCAAAAGTATGAGCAACCAGTTGTTGAAATATTGGATGATAGTGATGACGATGATGTTAAAGAAGATAAAAAGAAGAAAGGGAAAAAGAGAGCAACTGATTTAGAGTCAATACCCTCTGAGCAAACAGATGTGGATAATCAAACTTCTACTCGTATCATGATAAAGGAACAAAGAAAATTGGAAATTGAAGAAAGGAAGAAAAGACGGGAAGAAGCAGCAGAAGAAAGAAAGCGAAGACGTATTCAATTAGCAGAAGAGAGAAAACGGCTTAAAGAACAAAGACAGGTATGTCTATGGTAACCAAATTGATATCTAGACTATACTAATGATTATTGTAATAGCTTGAAAAAGAACGTCAATTATTATACGAAAAAGAGAATAGGCAACGTACTGATAGAACTGAGATATTAAAGGAAATGATACTCGATATTCATCCCGACTTTCTCAAGTCAACAAATACTGGCAAATTGCTAGAGACTACATTACATGAAAAAGACGTTGATGTTCGAAATTTATTAATACAGGATCCTTATGAACCAGCCTACACCATTGCCTGGAGACGTAAATGTCGATCTGAATGGAATATGGATAGCCAAACATTTATACCCTTAGAAACAATGAAAATTATGAACGAGCCGGTTGTACTGGTTCATATTGATAGTTTACAGTTTGTGCATCACGTTAAAAATAACACAATGAATAGCTATATTGATCGTATTCAGAAATCATGCCAAAACAGACAAATTATATTGATGATTGAAGGGCTCGATAACTATTACAAAAAGAAAAAACTGTTGCAAAGAAGACAATTTGACTCTCAAGTACGTCAAACAATGTCGCAAAACCCAATAAAAAAAAGGAACAATAGGAACAATGAAGATCTTATTAATGGACCAGAACCAGCGATGGTAGAGGAATGTATAAATTATCTTCAGCTAGTTCGTCATGTGATGTTTGTTTTAACAAAAGATGATAAAGATAGTGCACGTTGGATTGAAAGTTTAACGATAGATTTAGGATTAGGACGATACAAATCAAAAAACATTAATAACAGCTATCGAGTGAGCAAATCAGGAACAGATCCACAAGATACATATTTTAAAATGCTTCAAGAGATACAATTATGTACACCTGCTGTCGCAAAAAGTATTATGTATGCCTATCCAACATTGCAATCATTACACCAGTCTTATGAAGCTAACAATAAGACTGATGGTGAATTAATGCTATCTGAATTGGAGGTATATTTTATTCTATTTTTTTGCTAATTTTTTTTCTCCAATTTTAATATATTTGTATATTTTTTTGATTAGGTTGAGCGCAGTGCCTTTCAAGCTCGAGACAGAAAAGTGAATAGAGTCATGTCCAAAAAAATATACACAATTTTTAATAGTGATGATCCCGAACAAATCATTTATTAATAGCTCATTAAATAAAGCTATCATTAGGGAGGGCTTAAAAAGTATATGGAGGTTTCCCATATAAAGATATGATTAGGTGGCTGGTATGTTTTATTACAATTAAAAGTCGAATTCTGAACGAAAAGCATCAAGGTTATGATCATCACACGCTTTAACCAAATCTTCACGATGCATACTATATAAATAAAAATGAGTAAACTATTGAAAGCATATATATATTCAAAAAGAATAATAATAATTACTTTAACATGAGCATACGAAGGCTACCCCAAACATTATCGCTCATTCCACCATAAACAGGAATCTTATTTCCATCTTCATTCATGATAATGGAGCCATTATCGTTTGATTTTTGTATTGCTAAAGCAGTTAATAAATGTTCAGCAGCTTCACGATGCTCACCCAAGTTGATACAACTGATGGCTAAATTATAACGGGCACGAACATATGTGGGACTTATAGTTAATGCATTAAAGTAGGCTTCAATAGCACCTGATGAATCACGTGAGTTGGCCAATGTAGCCCCCAGTTTGTTCCATAATAGATAATCTTGTGGATTTATTGCTAGCGCGGCTTTAAAGCAATCAATCGCTTTATCATATTCTTCAGAGACATTAAACAACACACCAAGACCTACTTGGACATCAGCATCCATTTCTTGGCCAGGAGCGCTTCTAGCCGCTTCTAAAAACATATGTGTGATATAACCATGTCGATCCTCTGGTCTTGTCATCTTGGTTTTGCCAGCTGTCTTTATCAAGTGTTTATACTGATCATGGTTCATAATCCACTGCTCTAGAGCGTCATATGCATCTACTCGACAATTTTCATTTGTATAACTTACAGCTAATGCTAACCAAGCATCTAATAGCCTAGGATTTATGCTGACTGCCTTACGTAAGGCAGCGATGGCTGCAACGTCACGTTCATTTTCTTGTTGACGAAGACCCAGCATTTTCCAAGCATCCGAATTTGAAGTCTCTAACTGTGCCCTCGCTTCTAGTGCTAATATAGAATCAGCCAAGTTTCTATGATCCACTTGTTGAATTGCCTCATGATCAAGTAAAAATGGATTATTCAATGCAAAATGATAAGTATTGTATTCTGAGTTTGTAGCGCGGTAGCCTATTCCTTGTTCGGGGTTAAATTGTTCCCAATCTTTTTGCAACGCTTCCCATTCTTGATCTTGTGCAGTTTTGAGATGAGCAATGTTCTTGTTATATTGTTGCACCCAATCATCTGTCTCAGTACCTCTGCCAAATAACTTTTCCATTTCTTCTTTCTCAGATTGATGTTTCGAAAATTCAGAAGCCCAGTCACCAGGCTGCTGGTGTTGGTTTTGCTCATAATGAAATTCTGATGCCCAGCTACGCTCCGCTTTGGCTGCAAATTCAGTAGACCACATATTACCACTACTGGTGCTTCCTACGTGCTGTGTGAATTCGCTAGCCCAGTCATTTGTGTTTTGGTTATTCAATTGTGTACTTGTCCTTGTTTCTACCATTTTATTTCCTTCAATCTGAACCTCACTATCTTTTAATTTACGCATCAAATTCATAAACTGCGAATTTTTGAATTTTGGATTACTTTCAATATCAACCGAATCTAACAATAAGGCTGCTGTCTTTGCAAGAGCCTCATTCTCATCTTTAGAAGTCATACTCTGCTCTTCTTGCTGTTCAAATTCATTAGCCCATGACTCTTGTTGTGTAGTAAACTCTTGTTCCCAATTCATCGTCTTTTGAGTAGCATGTTTAGCTTCTTCAAATGTTTTTTCAAAGGCGTCTCTTTCTGTTTGTGTCAATGTTTCACCAGAATGAATTGCTTGAAATGCCTCAAATTCTTTATGCCAATCAACACCTACAAGAGATAATTTATATTTTGTATGACGATTCATCTGTTTTATTTTATTTTATTTTTTATTTACCTTGTATTATTGGGTATTGTCGATTTTGTTGGTATATTTTCTCAAACTCGTCAAATTGTTGAGGCTCTTGCTGATGTTGTATAAAATCCGCTGTCCAGTTCTGTATAGGCTGCTGTCCAATGAGCTCCAATTCACGATTTAAGCCTTTAAATTGAAATGTATTTGTCTCCATTCGACTTTTTTCTTCTCTAAAAAACTCATCAGTTAACTAAAATAAATGTTAATAGATGTGTATTCATTTTAATATAAGTTTACCTGATCATTGGAAATAGGACTATTCATTCTATTTCGAGCTCGAAAGCCAACCTTTTTAACAAAGTATGTAAGCATTTTCTAAAGTTTTTTTTTTTTTAGCTATTTTATTACCTTTGAGCTTTCACCTTTTTGTTCAACATTAAGTCGATCCTTTTACAGCAAAAAAAAAAAAAAAAAAAAAAAAAAAAAAAAAAGTTAGAATTGAATTAGTCATATTGTTCATAGTTTACTTGTTGAAGTGATCTATCTCGTCCAAATTGCTTCATTAAGCCTGCCATTGGATTTACAGGTCCACAGTCCGAATTTCCGTCACCAAAGAAAGACATTATTAATTTAATTGTTAATAATAATAAAAAAAGAAGAAGCTTTATTTAAAATATGGTTAATCAGAATATAAGAAAAACTGGGGAATTAATGTCCGACATGTGAAAAAAAAAAAAAAAAAAAAAAAAGTAGACTAAACAGTTAAAGCACCATCCAATCTAATAATAGAGCCATTTAACATTGGCATTTTAATTATCTGCAATACTAAATTTGAAAATTCAATTGGATTTCCTAATCTATGAGGAAATAAAGATAATGGAGTGCCTTCGCTTTCAGAAGATTGATTTACAAGAGGCGTATCTAATATAAGCAAACAATGAATATGGAATGTAAATGTAAATAAAGCTATATTTTACCAAATACACCAGGTGCTATGCACATAACTCGAATACCAAATGGAGCCAATTCCTTTGCTAATGGCAAAGTTAATCCAGCAATACCAGCTATAAAAACTACGTATAAGTATATTTTATTCAATAAAAAAAGAGAAACTAACCTTTTGATGTGCCATAGCCTACCAGAAGACCATCTAAACCCAAGATAGAGGAGACAGTAATGATAATACCTTTTTCTCCATCCTCGTTTATTGGCTTATTTTCTAAAAGCTTTTCTGCTACCTTTTGAGCAACACAATAGGTGCCTAATAAGTTTATCTTGATAATATGTTCAAATTGAGCAAAACTTGTCAAATTGCCTGCATAGCCCTTTAATGACTTTGGTGGTTTAACGATACCGCTACAGAGTATAGTTCCTCTTATTGTGGCATTATTGAAATACAGCATCGTTCTCTGGATGGCTAACTCAACTTCAGACTATAACAACATGTTTAGTCCATGACAAAGTATATGATTAACCTATGTTACCTCAATTGTAACGTCTGTTGGACCATGAAAATAACATTTATTTTTACCAAGTTCATCGGCCAATTTAATTGCCAAGTTGGAATTGACATCAAGGATCTGTTAATAAAGGATAGTTTTTAAAAAGCTACTATGTAATTATTTAAAGCATTCATTACAGATATTAAGCCGCCTTCTGAAATAATTGAACGAGCTACTTGTGCACCTAATCCACTTGCTCTATAAGTAAAGGATAAATTTTTACATATTTATTGAATTCAACTTATTTTATGTGTACCCTCCAGTAACAATAAAGACGCTTCCATCAATTTTCATTTTTTATAAAGTATAGAATCTAATTTTATCATACTATAATAGCTGCTTTTATATGTACAAAAAAAAAAGCATCATCTTTTTGTTCGCTTAAAATGGCTAACAAGTAGGAGGAATAGGATTATTTTGAATTCAAGGTTACGCATAGAAGCAGCTAATACATTCCCCCTCTTTTTTTTTTTTTTTGCCTATAATACACTCACTGGACTACTTTTCTTTCTGGGCAAGTACAGCAACACTTTAGTGGTTTACTAGTTAATTCATGCATATTGCTCATAGTCTTTGTTAAGGATGGTGTTTTACTTGATTCTGTCATGATAATAATGCTACTTTTACTTCTATTAAAAAAAAAACTCTTATCATTGTATATGTAATATGGAGTCAACATGTAAGTTATTACACTTGCGCCTTCTTACAAACATAAGCCTCTTTTTATCCGGCTTATATAAGTCATCTCTAGTTGACAATTATGTTTTTTACGGTATAACCAGTGTGTCTAATAATTATTACTCTGTTTTATATCTGTTTCAATTAGTACATTGAAATTATTGAATTCACTCTTTCATGTGACAGTATAATTTTATTAATCCAGTCCAAAGAAATGTATTAAACTCTAAAAAAAAATAAAAATAAACACACTTTTATTATACAGAAAAAAAAAAGAAAAAAGAAACTTAAAGATCAGTTCTCTTTGCTGCAGTTCTTGTAAATGATGCTAATTGCCATTCCACATCAGCGTCTGTTAAGTCAACTGTACCAAGTCTGATTTCATATGCTAATATATATGTATATACATAAATACATTAGTAAAAAAAAAAAAAAAACCATCCAATCTGCGTATAAACTTACGTCTCATTTCAAAACGAGGTCCAACTTCAGCCAATTCAACTTGATTACCTGTTTTCACATACACATGATGTCTAATTTTAAATTAATAAAAAAAAAAAAAAAATCAACTTATTCCCATGTTGTTTTTATTACCTGAAGGAAATATAATCATTATCATTAGCAAAAGTCATTACTCGTTTAGAATCATCTTTTGGAACAGGGAATAAATATTTCAAAATATTTGTAATCTAGATAAAATCAAATTAGGTCCTATTTTATAAAGCCAACTATGTATAATTAACTAATTTACTCTGGCACCTAATTTAGTATTAAAGTTTTCAAATATTAAATGAGGAAATGCTTCAGATACTGTTCCTTGATCTTTAATGTCATGTCGAAGTACAACATTATGCAAAGAGAAATAAGCAGTAGGACCATAGGGGAAATGACATACAACCATACCATCTATTATATATTGTTTTAGCATATACATGTGTGTGTATCTATACTATCTTTACATACCTGGTTGTCCACGATGTTCATGTAATATAATTAAATCCGTCACTTCATTAGCCCGACAAGCATCAACAAGATCTTTCATAACATGACCACCACGATTGATACGCTGAGAGTTAGGAAATACAAGACGCATTTCTTTAGAAAATTGTTGTAGACGACTACTAGGATCTCTAGATGTTGTAATCACAATCTTTGGATCGAAAACACCTGCACGAGCATATTCATCATCTTCATGGGTTCTAGGAGCTAATTTTTATACATGTATAAACTTTAGTCGATCCTTAAACTTACATCATGATTTATCTTTTACCTTCTTGAGCTTGATCGTAACCAAGATCTTCTTTTGTGTTCTTATCCAAATTTCTTAATTCCGTAGGTATTTGCTTTCCCTCTAATCATATAGGTTAATCTACATTCAAAGATTATAAAATTGTATTTTTTTTTTTTCCTTACGCTCAATAGCCTCTTTGATCTTTTGTTTACGCTCATAAATTGTACGTTCCTTGGATTCCAAAGATTTTTTATAAAGATATTCTCTACGAAGACGAGTATTTCTACGAATCTAATGAAAAAAGTAATTAATATCTTGAAGGTTAATTAGAGTCCCATTTATAAATCACCATTTATTATAATTATTATATTGTAATCAAATGTCAAGATTTAATTTTTTTTTTATTGTATCTGTATATGTATAAAAAAAAAAAAAAAATGAAAGTGACTGTATTTGATGTTTTCCTTTTTTGTACTAGCAAAAAAAACTTCCTACGAATACAATAAAGACTAGGTTTGGTAAATTTTATTTGCTTCTTGTTCTATAAAATCAAGAATATGAATATCCAATATGTTGGTAATCGTGTCATCACCTTGACGAATAGCATTTCTTGCCAATGTGCTTGAAAATACACTCATTACAGGGTCTAACTGAATTCGTTTAATCAAATCTTCATAACCATCGTTCTTTAATTGGCTCCAGAATGTCTCGCTGCTCACACCACGATCTGCGCAAATCAACCTGCAGTTCTTAAAGAATGGAGCTAAAGCTTCTTTTACAGTCATTTTAGGGTAGTATTTTGGATCCATGAAGCGAATCAGAGTATCATATCCCATAATAAAATGCAAATCAAGGTCATGATTATTATATTTTTCTCTGAACCAATTATGGATATGTGTTGCTTTGTCTATAAAACGACCATGGGGCATGAATCCAACTGCACTATTTGTATAATTCAAAGCCATAAGTTCCATCATTTGGGCACGTTGGACAAGATTAGCTCCTGAAAATTGTTTATCAACGTTATTAGTAGAAAACAAAAGTAGTGTGGCATCAAAATAATGAGGCTCAAAGGCTTCAAGTGATTTTGTGAGGAGATTAGCATGGGCACGCGTAGGGGGATTAAATGAAGAATCTAAAACTAAAAGTCGAAAAGTTTTTTTTAAAGGACAAGGCCAAGTGGGTGACGAAGTATATGTCGTATAAAAATCAAGATGCTGACATTCTTGTAGTTTTTTTGTAATGGCTTTCTGGCGTGATTTTATATATGACAGCATTAAAAAAGAAAAAAAAAAGGAAAAAAAAGAAAAAAAGAAAAAGAAAAGAAAGACACACACACACATACATAAAATTTGTATAAAGAAAAAAAAAATATGTATTATTATTTTAAATAAAGAAAAAAAAAAAGGGAGAGGAGGGCTTATATTAATAAAATATTTGATTTATGCTTTTTTTATCGCATATCACGTAAATGAACATCTTGAGAAGAATTCAAATGAAGTTGAGAATTTGTATCACTACTAATACTACTGTGACTAGGTCTTTCACTAAACATATGAGAAAAGCCATTTTGATCTTCTTTCTTTGGTGTTTGATAAGGACTTAATTTTTCAGTAGAAGGGAAAAGGGGATTATTGCCAGCAGAAGCCATTCCAAATTGTTGACCATAACTAGGAAGTTCTTTGTTATTGTTCATGGATGATGCATAATCTAAGGATCGGAAGACTTCATCATCCACATAATACGCCTTGAACAACAATTCCAAAACTTGCATACGCTCTTCAACTCGGCTTACACGCTGAGCCTCTGTCTCTTGTCCAAGATTCTGAAATTCATTTACACTAAATCGATGATGAACAGGATGAACCAAGGGGATACCTGAATCTGTTGTTTTAAATTTATTCTGAAGGCCCTGAAGAAGGGATTGTTTACGACTGCCAGTTGCCCAACGATGGACTACGCCCCAAGGAGATCGAGGACGATAACCAAAAAGCCATGTTTGTGCAGCTACTAATAAGCCAAAGATACCACCTACAAATCCAAGAGCGTTTACGAGTGTGTACATCTTGATCTCACGATCAATTATCTGAGCATAATTTTCGGGGAAAATAGCTATAAAACCCAAGTCTGCATGTACCTTACTATAGTTGGGATTCGGAGCCTCTGATCTAAAGTTGGATACGATTTCAGGTGTACTATTAGTGACAGGTAAAAATCCAACATAGTTCCATCCAACAGGCTGCAAGTAACGATGATCTACAATATCATAACTAAGAGCACTATAGGTATAGGGTCTAACAGTATAGACGTTGGTGGCTTGGAGATCGTTGCGTTCTGTTGTTTGCCAATTAGCGATATCAACTTCAGAAAGATAGTTACTGATACCATCATCATAACCGTAAATTTTCGCATTAGGATCCATTCGTTTGGGATAAACAGAGATATGAACAACACCATAATCGATTGTTTGATCTCCCCACATGGTAAATAACAAACGAGAACCATTATTATTACCAGCAGTCAGAGTCATTTTAAAACCTTCAGGGGCACGGAAAAGATAGCAATTAACGGGGCCCAAATTATCGGAAAAGGTAGGTTTGAATATGGACATATTTAGTGGTTTAATAAAAGAGTTGCAAGAGTAACCAATATCGGTTTGACAAGATACGCCGGGTGGGCCATACATTTGGCTTTGACTAGGGAAACCGTCAAAGCAAAAACGAACATCAGGTACTTCAACATCAGGAGATGGATGCTCTATTCGTTGTGTAACATTTGGACTATCGACAGCTTGACGAATGACAAAATATAAAAACATAACAAAAATAAACAAGAAAAAGATTTGAGAGATGATACGTGAAGTTTCTGCCCAAATAGGTTCACCAGTACGAGGCTTCCAAATGTCGTTGTGGATACGTACGATTAACCAACGAATGTAAGACTGGAATTTCCAGAGTAAGAATAGAATAATTACAAGTAATACGACGGCAGCAACGGTGACACCGGCAATAAGTCCCTTTGAAAGGGAATTACCGCTTGAATTAGATTCGTCAAATGTTTGTAACCAAGAATTTGTAGACAAATCGAATGTATTAATATCATTATAATACAAATTTGATGAAGCGCCTAGTAGTAGTTAAAAAAAAAAAAAAAAAAAAAAAAAAAAAAAAAAGAATTGAATATAAATAATTTTGAAATATGTATATCTTTTTTTTTTTTTTTTTACCAAAGGCGATTGTAAGATGCTTGTTATCTAAAAGGCCACCAATAGCATATGCACGTCGAGAAGGAGGAATTCCCTGAATAGTAGGTATTGTCCAAGCCCAAGTTTTAGTATCCAAAATAGCAATAGTATTTAAATATTCTCTTGTTTGTTGTGAACTTCTATCATTGCCTAGTAATAAATAAATAAAAATTGTATTCGTTAATTGATTTTTTTTTATTTATATCATAGTTCAATCTGTATGCATTTACCTCCAAAAATAATAATTTTATCATCATCAGCTTTTTATATATAAGGAAAGAAAGAATATTAGGATTTAATATTAAATTATAATCAAATTAAATTTACTTACTAACAACAGAAACAAAATCAGAAGTAGCAGAAGGGAAATGTCCGTTGTAATCAGTAACATTACGCACAACCCAATTATTAGAAGGTGGATCATAAAGCCAGACTTGATCCATGCCTGCAAGAGTAGGCTCTTCTGCGCCTACAATAATACCGCCAACAACAACAATCTGTCCATTACTAGAATTTTTGAATGTACATGATTAAAATATTAGAGTAGTACAAAATAAATAAATAAATAAAATACCTTAAAATAGAAGCAGAATGACCATAACGTCCCAATGGAGTTGGTTGTAGAACAGTTGATTTGAAGTTAGCATCTAAAACATGTAAATCGTTCAAAAAAAGAGGTCCATTAGGGCTCTGAATAGCTCCACCATAGATATAGGTACGTTGATTCTTTTTATCATATGTAGCAGAAAAGAACTGTCTGTTATAAATAAAATCAGGAGGAGGAGGGGAACTAACGTTGGCATTGTTGCCAGCAAAGGGAGTCCATCTTTGAGAAGCAAAATTATAAGAGTGAATTTGAAGAGGTAAACCTCGACCAAACGTTTCATTTGACATACCACCTAATAAAATCATATTTTGATTATCAGCTGTAATATAAGCTTGACCATATAAAGTGCCATTAAGTGGATTCATTTGAGGAACAATCTCCCAGCTGTAAGAAGTGTTAGTCTGAGTTAGCTTGTAGAAATCGTTTGTATATAATTCAGTCGCATTTTCACCACCAAAGATATATAATGAATTTCCACTTTGCGCATATTGCATACCCCCCTTAAATGGAAGTGTATTCATAAAAGAAGGGACATAAAAATAAGCTTCTGCTAGCTGAAGTTGAGCAAGAAGTATTGCTGTTAGAAAGAATATCAAATTCTTCATAATGAGGCTGTATCTCAATTTCTATTTTTTTTTCTAAATATGCTGGATCCAAATATATAACGACTTCAAGGAAGAAAGGAAAAAGGAATATAAAAGGGAAAATATAAAATATTGAGGAATTTAATAAGAGAGAAGAAAAAGAAGAAGAAGGAGGGGGGGAGGGGATACAAACGAAAATAATAAAAAGTAGAAAAGAGGGAGTCGTAGTGTACATAGTAAATCAACTTGGGTACCCGAAAACAAATAAAATTTCATTATATTTAGGGAGGTAGTACATACTTGAGTGGCCGAGACTTTAACATGAGATTTTACTGTATTTGTATTTTAGTACCTAATTGTTAAATAATAATAATAAAATCAAGCTTATTTCTATATAAAAGAAAACAAAAAAAAGTCTATCTCACTTTGAAGCACGTGCTACATTTTTAGTTAACAATAAAAATGTTTATTTAAATAAAGCCTTTATAATTCGAGGTAATTCTCGAATTCGGAAAAAGAATATCAGCATGTAATCTTGTGGATTATCTAATGTGGGCTTTGTTATTATAAGCCTCACCACTTTTTTGTAATTCATATTTCTTTTTATAGTAGCTTCCTTTCTCTGTTAGACTACTTAAGAATAAAAATAATTCTTAACATTCTTCTGTAGTTTTTTATATTTGAAAATAAATCATTCGCTTACGTCTTTAAACAATGCAATAATAGGTTAAAAGAAGTTATCATAATATATCCTTTTTCTTTATCTGCCACTGAAGTGCAATTAATTGATAAGGCTTTTCACTATTTTATTCAGAACCAAATAAAGCTTACCATAGATTAATTTAGTTGGAAAAATTCTTCGATGTTAACTTAAAATAGTTGGTCTATTATTTTTGCCCTTTTTTTTTTTTTAATCTTTGAACAAATAATGAAGCATATTACGTTTAAACTTGAAAAACGTAATAAATATAATATTAAAAATGAAATATTATTAATAGAGATACATGTAAGAGTATATGCATATATATGTGCATATGTATATGTTTATTTGCTTTTTTGCTCCCACATCATTTGTATATTAACTTGAATAGTTTGTCTACCAATCATACATCAGACAGTATGTGAGGAGTTAGATCTATTCTTTTACTATAAATACCTATTTTTTGTATGTTTTCAGATTAAAATAATTTGTCTTTAAGTCGCATATAGTGACAAACAGATATATTTCTCGTTATTCAAAGTAATCATTAAATGTCAAATTCCGGCGGGAGTACTTCTTTTAACATTTTTTTTTTTTTTGGCAACAAGGAAACCATTGTTTTACTGTGAAGAATGCCTATAAATGTGAAAAAAGTAATAAAAAAAATGACAGAGCCTGAAGCAAGCACTTTTTAAAAAACATGCTAGAAAATTTCGTATCATTATCTTGAAAACATGATACAAACAATCAGGAATCTAAGTCTAATAATGACTTAAACATAGTTCCCAATTAGGAGTGTGTTTTAAATCTATTCTTAAAATATGAAAGAAACTTAGCTAAGGAAACCTTACCAATATATCTCTAGATATTGAAAAAATTTAATTGAAATGATTTCCTAATTTTTTTTAAACGAAGTCAAAAGTATTGAAAAATGCCCATATTAAAAATGGGGTAACTATAAGATTAAACGCATGCTTAAAAAGCTATTCAAAGATCATTTTAATTCGTTGGGAAGCATATTTTTTTTGAATAGTATTCAGTAAGGGTTGATTACAAGAATTACGCCAAAATGAAGTCTATCTTACATAGTAGTAAGCAAACTACTAGAATTAAAAAAAAAATAGATTAAAATAGGTTTTACTTTATTATTATCTTACCCAGCATGAAATTAATAATACATGGTTTTTTTCTTAAAAAAAAAAAAAAAAAAAAAAAAAAAAACGCTTTACATCATTACAGAATTGGAAACAATAAAAAGTATGTCTTCTATGCTATTACACTACAATGAAAATATGCGTACACATGATTTATATACATTTATAAATAAATATAAAGGCAGCATAAATTTGCTAATGAGCTAAATCTTAATAAAATTATAGTAAAAAAAATAATCCATTTATTATTAAAGTAGATAAGAAAACACACACACACACACAAAAAGTACTATCTACAATTCCTTTACAGAAATAAAAATGTACAAATATGGCTTTTTATTTACATAATTATTTTATTCATTATTATACTTCATCTTCTTATGCGTAATATTACTTAGAAGGTACGACCATTATCATTACTTCCTCCAGAAGGATTATTATGTCCTCCAGAAAACTTTCCAGCTAATCGTTCCAACATATTTTCAATTTTATCAGCTAATGACTCATCACCTTGTTGTTGTTGGTCATAAACCTGTTGGTTTTGATCACCATATTGAGTGCCATATTGTTGATCACTACTAAACTGCATTTGACCAGTAGGTTGATCTAAACTAGTGTCGTGTTGACCACTATACTGATCTCCATGTTGTGCTTGATCATAGCTAGGGTTCTGTCCAACACCATAGTTATAGGATGCACTATTAGTAGACAAATCACCGTCATAACCATTACTCAATTCAGTGTTTTGAGAAGGATATGAGTTATTTTGTTGATTAATATCATCATAAAAATCCTGTTGTTGATTACCACCGTTAAGGTTGTTATCAAGGCCAGAAGTAGCAGTTCGACTACGCGTATTATAGGGCATTTTTTATTTTTACGTATTTAACTGTATAAACAATAAGAAAAAAAAAAGAAGAAAATTTCAGGATGGCTCGTGTTTTTTTTACCTATTTATCTTTTTTTTTTTTTTTTTTTTTCTTTTTATGTTACAGACTTATGCGAAACCCTTTAAATTAAAGATATATGAGACTAAACTGTTTCTGATATTGTAAATTTTTGATGTTCAGATAATTACATAATGACCCAAAACAAAGACAATTAAAAATGATCTCCAGTCGCACATGAATAAGATTTATAATTTTGATGCCTGTAAACGGGTGCTCAAAATACTTTTTAAAAATCTTTAGTCTATTTTCTTTTCTTGATATTCACATATTTGCCAAATTATTTCATGAACGTTTACATGCATTAAAATAATGAAGGTAGTCACTTTTATTCAAGTAATTAATTAAGTAGCTATTACGTACTTATCATTCATCTTCACAGTGAGGAAGCTATCAGTAAATATCTTAAGTTTACCAATGTGTATCATTGACGTTAGCTTTACATCCCTTGAGCTTCGGCAAATAGTAAACCATCAAGAAGAAGAAAAAAAAAACCTTCTTTTTTATTCTCCATTTTCACTTCTTATTTTAATGTGTATAAAATTATATCTGTTTGGAGATACTAAATAGTATGATCAAATTAAAATATTTTCAATTTTAAACACTTTTTATTTATTTATTTGTATTTGTAGCTTTCTTCTTTCTTTAGCTGACCCATGCATTTATGGTATTGCTTATTTATTTAATATCTTTTTGTCTGATATGATTCTTAATTACTCGAATATAATAATAAAATATCATTTAGAATATATATGCTTGAAAGATTTGATCCAATGTACGCACATAATGTAAAATGTATACCGTATTGTTTGGACTAGCTCGATATAAAAGAAAAAGACTAATAGTTATAAAGAAAGAGATGTTATAAAATAGATACCCGAGTTAAAACAATATGCGGCAAAATAGCCAGTTATCTCATATTTCAAGGGGAAAGTGAGTTTGTAACCATCAGCGTATATATGGGCATATTAGCCGTATGCGTTGGGGACTAACTCATATTTGGACGATTGACACTGGGCCTTGGTAGATCTTTAGACAGACAATCATCTAACTAACTAATTGGTTACGTTCAATTTAAGCTATAGATAAATACATATTATGGCCTATTCCAATCCTAATGTAACAGGAAGAAAGGAAAGTATAGACCTTAGCAACACTCTAATTAATTAGTTAGATAGATTTTGTTGCATAGAGTCTTTGCAAATAGTTTGGAAGGACTGAATATCAGGAATATTATAAATTGTTGTTATAGAACATAAAATCCAAACAGGAGATTTCGAGATTTTTATACCATTGGAGGAGCATAGATAGAAGAATGTCATTAGCGTTTCGTAATGAATGGAGCAGGAATTTTGCTTGTAAAAGCTGCACCCTTTCTCTCATAGTTGATTGTTCAACAAAATACAACATCACCTTTGCGGAGAACCGGGCATAGTCCAACTACAGTTTTTACACTTTGTGTTCATGTATTATCATTTCTTTTCTAGACAAATCAAGAATGAAATGCAGATACTATATTAGATTTATATTGAACGATGTAAACTGTCAATTTAGATCCTTCTCTCTTTACTTTAGATTATAGTGCATCCATTCATTATGACAGGATAAACGTCACAACTATATAGATGTTGTTGTAGTCATTTTGATAAAACGGTTAATAAACTAGAGATGTTTGATAAATTTTTGATAATAATTGATTATGCTTTCATGTATATAAAATATAAAGTTGATTTGTATTAAAGGGGGTTGAATTCAGAATCACTTTTTTTAAAAAAAAAAAAAAAATAATAATAATACTTTATTTGATTAGAAAACTTAATGCTTAACTTTTGGTATGTGCTATCAACAGTGTCTACAATTTACGAAAATAAACAAAAAGGGAAAGAATCTAAATTGGCATCTTACTGTGTCCAAGATTAAATTAACTATAGCATCTGCGTTTCATCTAGAAAAAAAAAAAAAAAAAAAAAAAAAAAAAAATCTAGTGTCTTTAAATAATTTTCTATTGGCCCTTAATTTGAATATTTGGGATGAATGACTAATGATAAATTATTTGCTCATTGGATAACTTAAACTACCACCTCTATAGCTACCTGTTGTGACTAGTTTCTTATTTACTTTAGAAAAATAGAAATAACGCGTATGAAATAGATTTATTTTCTTTATTTTTATAAAATGTCAAGTAGTGAGAAATATAAAAACCTTAAGGTTAAAGAATTACAAGGTAAAGCAAAACAAAATGAAATAAAAAAAAGAAAACAAAAAACATTTTCTCATTTGTTTTACAATAGAATTATTACAAAAATATAATCTTCCTCATACAGGAAAGAAGGAAGAATTGATTGAACGTCTTGTAAAATACAATGAGAAACAAGAGCTAGCTTCTTTGGAAGATGAATTTGGTGATCTTGATGAGTTTGATGAATCTAAAGTCAACTTAGAGTAAGAATAATAGAATCTAGGAATCAATTATGTATTTATATAGTTTATAGTGATATTCCAGAAACTGGTAAATCTATTGAAGATTTAACAAATACTGAATTAGAAGATATTGTAGATATTAAAAATAGTGATACTACACGAAAAGAAGATTCCAAAAAGACTAAATCATCGGAAACTCTTGCTATAAATAATAATGTAGTTGTTAAACCTAATTCCAACTTTAAATATACACCCATCACATTTGATAAAGGGCCATCTGATACTAATGTAACTAAAAAGACTGAAACATCAATAAATAAGCCTGTAATTTCGACAGAGAAAAAGAATGATAAAGGAAAACTCATGAATGATGCAGAAAAAGCATTAGAACGTGCAAAAAGATTTGGAATTCAATTAAATGAATCAACCAAAAAAGAAATTCGTGCACAACGATTCGGTATTGCTGCTACAAGTGACGTGGATGATAAAACTACTATAAAAAAAGCCACCAAGTTAGGCGTTGATCCTGAAGTACTTAAAAAGCGAGCAGAACGATTTGGTGTTTCATCTACAGCTACTAAAGGAAAAGTATCTGTAGTAGCTGATCCTCTTGAAGAAGAGAAAAAGAGAAAAAGAGCTGAACGCTTTAATGTAAATAAAAAGCAAAAAACGGAGTAAATAAAAATTTATTGAAAAAAAAAAAAATAAAATAAAATAAAAAATAAATAAAAAAGTAAGAAAGAAAGAAAAAAAGATCATTTTTCTTCTCTTTGAAAATAAGCACAATATGAAAATAGGTACAAAAATAATACATGATTATATCTAGAAAATGATTAATAATAAAAATTAAAAATAAAAGCATGTTGTCAATTTGATCCTAAATGGGGTGATGTAGAAGGGAACATGAATAAAGCTTCATCATTATTAAGAGAGTAATACATGCATAATACAGATATATATATATAGCTATACTAATGAAGTATATTTTCTTCTTCTATAGGTATAAAGAAGGAGATATCGATATATTGATATTACCTGAAATGGCCTTTACAGGTTTGTGTATAAATATTAAGTTTAATTCTATGTATCTTACGTAATATAGGCTATGTGTTTAATAGTATTGAGGAAATTATGCCTTATCTAGAGGATTCAGAAAAGGGACCTACAGTAAAATGGGCAAAAGAGCAAGGTACGAAGAAATTAGAGGTTAAGATGTAAATACTAAATACTAGAGAAACAATAGCAATTCGATTAAAATGTTTTGTGATTGTTGGCTATCCTCAAAAGAAAGGTAAACTAAAAGGACAGTAAAATAGTATCCAGTATAGAATTTTAATATTATGTAATATGTAATATATATATATTTATATAGACCAATTCAATTATAATAGTATATGTTGTGTTAATTCAAATGGTGAAGTCATATTGACATATCAAAAATCTTTCCTATATGAAACAGATGAAAATTGGGCCACTGAAGGCTCTGGCTTTATATCAACACATATCAACGGCCTAGGCAAAGTAATACATACAGTCATCTATATATATATATATTTATATTTATACATTTGTATACTAATACTAATAGTATCTAATAATAGGTTGGATTTGGTATCTGTATGGATTTAAACCCTTATAAATTCAAAGCAAATTTTTATGATTATGAATTTGCAAATTATCATCTAAATCAAGATACAGAAATTATATTATGTAGTATGGCTTGGTTAAAGAGTAAAGAAGATAATGATATGAACAATTATAGTATTGCCAATACAGTCAAGTATTGGGCATCAAGATTATTGCCTCTTATGAAAACAAAGAAGCATGTTATCTTTGTTGCATGTAATAGAACAGGATCAGAAAGAGGAAGTGAATTTGCTGGTTTAAGCTGTGTTATGGATATCTCGAATGAAAAGATTTTTATTTTAGATACTATGAAATCTAATACAATAGGCGTTATGATTGTTGAAATATAATTTATTTATTGATAAAAATCATTATCCTTAATAGCAGTTTCATCTTCTTTATAAATTTTAATTGTCTTATCTGCTTCACCTGTAATTAAACGGGTTCCAGTTCTATCAAATGTACTACAAAATATGCCTGCTTCAGCATCAAGTGAACCAGGTTGAACAGTGGTATCCATGGATTGAAAATTATAACCTGATCTCCAATCATTGAAACTTAATGATCCATCATCACCACCAGAAAAGATGACGCCATCTTGATTAATAGATAAAGTATTGATAATAGCTTTCTTTCTTTCATAATTTTGCATAAACATTCCTTCAGGACATTTCCATCCTTTTACTGCATCTGCACTACCACTAACAAAGCCAAACTCGGTAGGATGAATAGCAAGAGCACGAACACTCTTTTTATGATGAGTCAAGACACCCATCGTTTTACCTGCAGCAAGATCCCATAATCGTATCGTATTATCCATAGAACCTGTAATTACTTGTGGGTCTGCTTCTTGACATTTAACAGCAGAGACTGTGCTTGTATGACCTGTCAAAACATGAATAGCTTGTTTGGTTCTCATATCCCAAACTCGTGCTGTTGCATCTCGTCCTGATGTCACAAGAACGTCCAATGTTGGATGTATACTTAAAGAGTAAACACCTGATAAATGTCCATGATAATGACGAATAACCTTATTTTGTTCTAAATCCCAACATTTAACCATTTTATCTTCACCACATGAAAAGAGGTAGGGATGTCTTGGAGAGACTTCTAATCCACGTACTGTAGCGATATGACCTGTAAGTGAAAGTTTTAAAGTACCTGATGCCAGATCCCAAATCTTAATAGTACGATCACCTGCACCTGTTGCAAACCATTTATTTCCTGGCTCTACTGTAACAGCACGAACCCAACCTAAATGACCACTGATGACACGCATGAGTTTCCAGGGCGCATGCCAAACAGGTCGAATGATCTTTGCCCGTGCTCTACGAACAAGCGAACCACTGCCAGCTAATGTATCTCCAAAAATCTCTGATCTAAATTGGTCTTTTCCACGAATAGCAACAACTCCTTCATTCTTATCAGCCCTAATAAATGCCCATTATTAAAATTGTCCTCTAATTTGTTTACACTCTTTTTTTTTTTTCATTTCTTTTTACATTAAAGATTTTTCAGGTATAGATTCAATGAGTTTAGACATTGGAGTCTTTTCATCGTCTGTATTATTTTTAGCCTCTTCAATTGTTGTTGACTTTGCTTTCATACGAGCTTTGGCTGCTTCTTTTTGTTGTTTGATTAGTGCTTCCGGAAGTATACGAAGATGTTCGTATTCATCATGAATTTTACTAATTAATTTGACACGTTGGCTATACATCCAAATAAGCATTAATATTCCTTACTTATTTTCAATTTTGTGAGGTTTTTTCTTTATTTTATTTTTTCTTGTTTTTTTTTTCTTGTTTTTTTTTTTCTTTTTCTTACCTTTCTTGTTCATCCATTGCAGCTTGACTATATTCTGTTGAGAACATAATTCTTGTTTTTTTAGCCGAATTTGATAAAATGGTATCCATTTTTTTAATTGGTGAATCATTAGTTTCCATTAGAACATCTTCTTTAGGTGCTGATCGTTTTGTGGCAACCATAATATTTAATTCTATAAATGCTTATAATTAAAAAGAGATCAAATAGTACATAAAACTTTTTTTTTTTTCTACTTAACTGAATTTTGCGTCATCTGTTTTAAAGACCGCTAGAATTACTTTTGCGATTGCTCTACTACTCTAATCTAGTCCTCTTCACCCTAAATAATGTTTTCACTATACAATGTTTGCATAATGGATTATGAAGTAATAAATTCAATATTGAGAAAATATTACTCTCTGTGACTTGATGAAGAAGTAGGATAGTTATATAAAATAAGGATATTTATACAAAATTTTGAGAAATTCTGAAATACAATATCCTCACTTGGAAAGATACAATCAAAGAACATTTATTAACGGTTTTTTTTTTTTTTTTTTTTTTTTTAGGTCAAATTGTGCAATGATAAAAATGAAAGCTTGATTCAAAATACATATCTAGAAAAGGAATGATAGAGGTACTGATTGATTTATATTAATCACTAAATGATTTAAGTGATAACGACTCAAAATACATGCAAAGGAAATGGACTCTAAATCATATCACGATATGCTATTTGTCTTTATTTACTTATTTTGATTAGTTTAAAAGCCTTATCTAATTTTTATTTAACTGATAAATACTGTAGATAATTAGATCAATAAAGGCATGAAACTAAGAGAAGCAAAAGATATATAAATATTTGTATTTTGATTCATCTAATATCTTTTTATAATAAATTTACTTTTTCAATGCCCAAGAAGGCAATTGATTATAGTTCAAAGACTATTTACTGTTTTAAAGCAACGGATAAAGGATGAAGAAGGTATATATTTAAAATAACTTTGATTGAATATTTGTACATTAAATTTATTTACCTTTTGTATAATAGGTGTACATTGTAGAAATTATTAAAGACCTGGACACAGGTCGAAAATTTTAAAATATACTAGCTAATCATAACATGAAACCAATGTTTTATTTGTATACATAAAGAAATACATATTATTTTGAATTTTTGTAGTTATAGCTTACGATAGCTGTTAAATTGGTTCAAAATATGAGATGAATAATACAGGAGAGTAGACTTTAAAAAAGAAAACAAAGAAGATGAAGGCATGAAGTTCTACTGGTAAATAAGAAAACGCTTATATGTGTGTTTAAGTTGCCACTAATATGGTTAAAAATCCACAAAATCTTTTCAATATGCTAACAAAGTAGCGCGGGATGTCCGAGGTATTTCGAATGCATACTACCGTTAAACTTGATGTCGTTGTAAAACCAAAGTACAAAAAGGTTCTAAAGGGAAAAGAAAAGTATCACAATTGTTAAAGATATAAGAATAAACAGTGCCATTAGATCTCAATTTTTTTGTCAATTACTATATTATATGTCACTCTAAGAAAGTAGTCAGTAAAACTTAATTCATATATTCTTAGTTATTCGGGAAAAAAAACTCAGCAAATACAAATACTCGTCCTAAAAAATCCTTTGGTAATGTAGAATAGTTTTTTCTGATGGTATTTAAAAATACAATATATTATCGAAAGCTTATCTGTACTAGAATATTGCTTATGCTTAACTGTTACATATGTTGAACTCTCTATGATATACACTAACATGATAATTGAGATTTTTGAATCACGAGTTATAGCGCATCTTCTTCATGTTTTAAAATCAGTTTTCTCTAAAAAATAAAAATAGTTTATACTAATATTGTTAATAGCAAGGAAAAATTACTAGCTAACTGCGTATTATGTCCTTGTACTACTCCAATATGTAAACTTCTTTCTTGCTTAAAAAGTTATAAAAATGAATATTGTTATTAAATATGTATGCAGAAGCAAACTTACGTGGTCATAAAAGTTAAAAATATATTTGGAAATTAAGAAAATGCTATTGAATATTGTTGTCAAACACTTTTACAAGTACTTTTATAAGCAAGTGTATTAATGTCTGATATAACTTTAGTGAGTTTTGCAGCTTCATCTGGTTCCTATCTATGTATGTTCATTTTTTTTTTTGACATATAATGAAAAAGTAGCACGATAAACAAAAACAACAGGTTCAACAACAATACTAAGGGCGTTGCACTTCTCCCCGTCTACTTCCATTGTTTCTTAGTTTATTTATATTGTTTCCATTATCCTCGAAGAAATGGACATTCATATATAAATTCGAAGTCTTTTTTTGCTACTGCTGAATCAAAGTTAATCTTTTGATACAAAGAAGGCTTTAATATGCTTTGTACAGTTTTCAACCTTCAAAGTATGAAAATTAGTAAGTGATATGTTTTTGCAATATACATATATATATATATATATATATATATATATATAGTTTACATAGATAAAATATGTCACCAACTTTTGGTAATAGAAAGTTAGAGTTTGCTAATCTTATATACACTGATACTCATATTGTACATACTGTTATGATTGTAGTCGTCCTTACAACTAAGTTAATAGAAATAAACCATCATTGATTACATAATAAAGAGGTTATTCAAATAAAACTAGTATATTGAACTTCATAGCATAATCTTCATTCTACTTTCAGTTTTAATAATAGACATTGTTAGAGTATTCGAGCATTAATAATTATTATATGCATTGTACTATGTATTAATTAGAATTCAATCACATAATTACTTATATAAGTTATACATATTATATATGTTGTGGTTTAGGTAAGTTTAAGAATAAAAATATAAATAAAAGATGTTTTGATAGCAAAAAGTTAAAGAAAGAGAAAAAGCAAAAGACAAGTCTGTGAAAACTTCGTGTAGTTTTTATTGAAAATAATAATACAAAAATTGTACTCCGAAAAATTATGTGAAAATGTAAAGGGTTATTTATATGTTTTTGCAAGGTAAGTGATATTAATAGAACTATGATTTGGATAAGCAAATATTGCTCTAATAAAGCATTAGTCATAAATATTTTCTCCGAATAATTCTGCCTACAATAAGATCTATTTTTATTCTTTTCTGCCTGAGCTGTCGCTGTTACTAAAAATATTAAATTATTATTTCTGGGGTAAGCGACGCGTCAATATTAATTCACAGTGAATATGTCAGCTATAGCAATACCAATTATTTATATGCTACTATTATTATTATCCTATAAGATATTATTACATAACAATATTTATCTTTATAGCTGTCTATATAATATGTATGACTTATAAATAATTATGTAATTGAATATAACAGTCATAATCCTATTGAATTATTATTATTACATAATATAATGTATATAATTATTTTTAATGCTCGAATACTCAAACAATGACTATTATTAAAACTGAAAGTAGAATGAAGATTATGCTATGAAGCGCGATATATTAGTCTTATTTGAATAACCTCTTTATTATATAATAAATGATGGTTTATTTCTATTAACTTAATTATAAAGGCTACTACAATCACAACAAAAGAAATAAAACAGAAATAAAAGAAAACAGACAGAAGAAGTACGTTGAGACTTGTCAATAAATCTTTATTAAGGGTTAAGTTCAATTATAATTATAATTGTAATTCTTTTTTCAAGTATATGAAATAAGGATTAATAATGTAAGAGTATTTATATGTTTTGTGAATAAGGATGATGAGTAATAAGAAGATAGAAATATAACAAATTATATTTGATAATATAATTATAGAATGATTACTAAGAGTTATAATTATAGATTCATGTCTTTTGTATATATTTATTTTTATAACTAATACGTGTATTCTGAGTAGAATCAATTATTACGCGTATTTGTATTATTCTTAGTTTACCCCAGTTTAACTTGTATAGAGTTATTTTTATAAATTTATAAATCTATATTCAGCAGAACAATAATAGAAGAAAGTATATTTTTAGATGCAAGACTTTTATTAATTATTTTTTCTATACAAGAGTAAATATAGTAAATATTTCTATAGACAGAATTATCATATAAATGCACTATATACTCTATTATGACTATTTATCTTATTGAATTAAGTTATAAATCTTAAAACCAGGACAATCACAGACTTGTCTTTTCTTTTTTCTCTTTCATTATCTTTTTCAGTCAAAACAAATATAAATGTTGTTCGAACATTCGAAAGCAAACGTTGATAAAAATATAAATTTTAAAAGTTAACCAATTATTTGCAAACAGTCTATACAATGGAAATACCAAATATATAGTTTAACCGATGTGACTGCTTTTTTGTAATAACTTATCTATGTAGTTTATTTATAGATTTCCAAAACACGAAAAAGCCTAGCTAGCTCAATCGGTAGAGCGTGAGACTCTTAATCTCAAGGTTGGGGGTTCGACCCCCCGTTGGGCTTCCTTTTTGTTTTTTCTCTGTTCTGCGTTTTGTTTTTTATTTTGTGAAACTCTGTAGAATATTGGAATCGATTTTTAATAAATCAAATTTACAAATGTATTGTGTTTTTTATTAGATAGTGACAACAGCAATTTCAGTGAATCATTATAAATTATAATAGAAGATATTTATTCATATATGTATTATTATTTTTTTCTTTATTTATTAATGCATCATTTTTTATTCTATTCTATTTTATTTTTCTACAGATGCGTAAACAACGAATTAGGACTAAATAAAAGTTAATATCTATATTTTCAAATGGTAATAACATTAAGTATCAGACAAAATGATATAAGGTTTATAAAAAGTGTTATATGCAGTAAAAAAATTTTAATGCGTCTAATTTGAAGAATAGTCCTGTTCTCAGTTTCTGATTATTCACAAAAAAAAAAAAAAAAAAAAAAAAAAAAAAAAAAAAAAAAAAAAAAAAAAAACTAAATCCTTTATTATGAAGTTAAAATTTATTTACTAGTAGTTATGATGATTGAAATAGTTGTTGTTGATTGTTTTTTTGTGTGGATTTATTAATGAACTTGGCCTGGGGAATAACTATCTTCATTAAGCAAAAAAAATATGGGAGAGAACATAAGTAAAAGTTCATTATTATCTCCTATATATAAAGAACACTCCTAAATTTACATAAGGTAACAATTATATATAAATGAGTATAATACTTTGTTCTTTTTTTTTTTTTTCTTCTTTCTTTCGTTATATATCAGAAAATGACTATTGCTGCCTTTAATTCACCATATTATTTAGCAAAAGTCAAAAGCAATACAAATTTAATAGATAAAATAAAACTAGAACAATCAAAGATAGAGGAGCAACTAGCAATTGAATATATTAATGAAGCACTTAATTTAAACATTTCTCTAGGAGAATTACAGCAAAAATTAAAAGATGGGGTTATTTTATGCAAGTAAAGTTATAAACACACGCTTTTGACAGTCTTATTAATATTTATGTAGTCTTGTAAATTATATTTGTCCTGGTACAATAAAGATGGTTGGTCAAAAAAAGGATTTATCATTTATTCAGGTAATAAATAGATGTCTTTATTATTTGGCCTTATCTAACTTTATACATATATGTGTATATAGATTGATAATATTTCTCGATTTTTACAAGGAGCTAAACAGGTAATCAATATTTAGGAGCTATTCATGGAACATTTCTTAAATATATGACATAGCTTGGAATACCAAATGAACAATTATTTCAACCAGATGATTTATATAATGGAAAGGATATGTCTTCAGTAAGTTTATGACAAAAATGATAATATTTATTTAATGTTCTCTTTATAGGTTATCCATACAATATTAACATTGGCTGAGAAAACTACATCCTTAAATAAGGAGAAAAGTAGCAAAGGTAAAAAGAAAAAAAGAAAAAAGCCCGAAATTACTTAAGGAGACATTTAACAAAATACAAGTTTAGATAAACAGGATATTAAGATTGATAAACATGTTGACACTACTATACAGCTTCCACAGTATAGACATATAAAAGATATATTTACAGAGGATTCTTCACAGAAGCAGCAAGCTTCTAATAAAAAATCACTTCAAGTAAATACAAATATGACACAACATTCTTTATTAACAAAAGCTCGTCCATTAAAGTCACCTTTAAGACAAACATCAATTCAATCTTTTATTATTCAAAAAAGATCTTCTGATATCACTTTATCAGATGAATCAAATCTTTCGTCATCTACTTCATCGATTTGTTCATCTCCTACAGTACCAAAGACACCTATAAGTCCTCTTATTTTATTGTCAGAAAGAAAATTAGTATATCAAGAAAATAATTTACCAACTGGCATGATTGATTCCTTTGAAGGTCTAAAAGAAAATACTGAAAAGAAAAACTGTAATAAAGTCATATTAAAAGATGGTCAAGGAAATTATATTACAACCTATGTAAGTATGAATTGAATAAACATCTTTTTTTTTTTTTTTTTTTTTTTTTTTTTTTTTTTTTTTCACTGTCTCTTAATTAATACACGTAAAGCAACTCGGAAACTGTATAGGAAAAGGTCAATTTGGGTCTGTTTACAGAGCACTTGATTTATATAATGGAGAAGTTGTAGCAATTAAACAAATTAAATTACAAGATGAAAATCTTTATAAAGAAATTATGGTAACATACGCCGAGTCATAAGCATGTTTTATTAAATTATATTTATAGAAAGAAGTCAATATATTGAGGACTTTAAGTCATTCTAACGTCGTAAAATATATCGGATTTATTCCAACTCAAGATTACTTAAATATAGTATTAGAATATATAGAGAATGGCTCACTTTTGGCAACTCTAAAGGCTTTTGGCGCATTTCCAGAAAAACTTGTAGCATCTTTTTGTATAAAGATCTTGAAGGGACTCGAATATCTTCATGAAAATCAAGTTGTCCATTGTGATCTTAAGGCTGCTAACATCTTGACAACAAAAACTGGGGATGTTAAATTAACTGATTTTGGTGTTTCTCTTAATCTTAAAGCTGTAGTAAATACAAATACAATTTCGGGGACCCCGAACTGGAGTAAAGTATAATATAATATAATATAATATATTATATATGTATATATCTATTACATACATTAACTAAGATGACTATATAGTGGCTCCTGAAGTGATTGAATTGAAAGGTGCAACTACAAAATCAGATATTTGGTCATTAGGTTGTACTTTAATTGAACTAGTAACTGGTAAACCGCCTTACAATGATTTGTTGGCTATGTCAGTGATGTTTCGTATTGTCGAAGATGATTATCCTCCTTTACCTGAAAATATATCAAAGGTAAATAAATGTATATGTATACATATACATGTATATAAATTGAAAAGACAAATAAAATAACAATATGTAGGAAATGGAAGATTTTCTTTTATGTTGCTTTCAAAAGAATCCAAATAAGAGATCTTCAAGTAAAGAATTGCAACAACATGAATGGATCATAAAGAATCAACAAAAGAGAAGCCAAAAAAAAAGTATGAGCACATTATGCACACACACATATATATAAATATATGCGTATTTACTTATTTTATAATTAGAAACATTATCAAAAGTAAATAATACAATAAAAGAGATCTCATCACATACTGAAAGACAATATTATTCATTAAATGCTCATTCAACATCATTCATGGATGATAATAATAGTCATCAATTTATTAAAACTTCTTTTGGAAAAGGTAAATATACCTTACTATGTTCAATGTGTTATTAAGCTTATATAATATAGAAGTCGAATGTAAAGTTTGTAATGAAATAATGGTTCATGATTCAATATTCTGCGAAGGTATAAAAAAAAAAAATAGTAAATATGTATTATGTGACTAAATGAGTATATATACAGTATGCTCACTTTTATGTCACAAGGAATGTAAAAAGTTAGCATTTTCATGTCCTCCTAAAGTAAATGATCAACAGCCTTCTTATGATGTAAGTTCCGTAAAATATTTCTGTATATATTTTTAATCGCTTTCATAGTGGGTATTTTCAGCAAAAATATATAATAATCGTAGTTACAGTAGTGAAAGATATACAAGAAAGCATATTCCTCAAGAATTTAAAAAAAATTATACAACTGGTAACACATTAAATAATCGTTCACATGTTGATAATATTAGAAAATTTTCTCGTGCATTAGGCTTAACTGTACAAGAACAGCTAGCTTTATCTCAAAATACTGCTTTACTTGATCATACGTTAAATATCGAAAAATCAATAAATCCTTGCCATCAAACAACTGAGAAAAAAAAAGGTCAAGATGAACAATGTAGTATCATGTAATAATGCCTTTTTCTCAATAAAAAAAAAAAAAAAAAAAAAGAAAAAACCAGAGTCGGAGTATAAATCATTTAATAAAAAATAAAAAAATACAAATAAAGAAAAAGATTCATTTCTTTCTTTTTTTTTTCATACACATAATGGGTAAACAAAAAACAAAGCAAGCACTTCCTCTTCATAAGATTATTATGGTTGGTTCTGGAGGTGTTGGTAAATCAGCTTTAACGTTACAATATATGTATGGAGATTTTGTTGAGGAATATGATCCTACAAAAGCTGATTGTAAGTCTTGTCATTGAACCATAGACAATTATTAATTTTTTTTTTATAGCATATCGTAAGAAAGTCGTTTTAGATGGTCAAGAATGCCAAATTGATATACTAGATACAGCAGGTCAAGAAGAATATGCAGCTGTAAGGAAAAACAATGAAATAAAAGGATCTCTTTTAATAATTATCATTATTAGATTAGAGATAACTATTATAGGTCCGGTGAAGGTTTTCTTTGTGTATTTTCTGTTTGTGAGCAAGAATCGCTTGAGCATACTCAAGAATTTCGTGATCAGATTTTACGAGTATTAGATGACGAATCGGTAAAATTAACATTATACTTCAGTAACAATTCAATTAATACCACCATAGATTCCTTTTATTTTAGTTGGTAATAAGGTTGATTTAGCTCATTTACGAAAAGTAGATGCTTCAGAGGCAAAAGCATTAGCTAATGACTGGCGCTGTCCTTATATAGAAACATCTGCTAAAACAAGACAAAATGTTGAAGAAGTTTATACAATGTTGATGCGACAGATTAGAGATAGAAAGGCTAAACAGCAGCAACAAAGCAGTCCAGATAAAGATTCTTGTTGTATTATTCTTTAAAGTCTCTCCTTTAAAGTCTCCTTTGTTTCTTTCCTTTTTTTTTTGTGCCCTTATTTCCTCGTGTATTATTCATTTCAATGCAGTAAAAAAAAAAAAAAAAAAGGAAAAGGAAGAAAAAAACGTTTATGTGCTTATCTAATTTTATCTTTTTACAATTTACAATTTACAATTTACTTTTTTTTTTTTTTTTTTTTTTTTTTTTTTTCTTTTGGAGTTTTGGATTTATAATAAATTAAACATTATAGCACATTTTGCACCTTTTTGAACCACTTGCCCCAGAAAAATATTATAGGAAGTTAGTTGCCAACGTAGATAAAGTTTGTCAATTTATCGATAGTCTTATTTCTTTTTATTTTGCAAACTGCACTCACTACTTTTTTAAATTATGATAAATTAAAAATGATTTCAACATGGTTTAGGAAGTGAATTTTTAGGCCAAATCAAGAATTACGTTTGTTGAAACAAAGATGAATTAAAATTTGTTATAGTTAAGTTTTGTAATTCAGTCAAAATTACTTGATTCAAAATATTTGTTGATGCATTGCTGGAGTATTTTACATTTTTTTTTTTTTTTAATAGATTTGAATACTTTGTCAGCTAATATTCGGTTAATCTCAAGGCTTTTGCTAACATGATATCTAAATCAAAATGATACATATTTCATCAAAAAGCTTCAAATCTAATAATGACTGAAAGCTCTCTAGTTTTATCTTTTATTCATTCCTCTCCATGAGATACTAATTATCACGCATAATATCCCTTAAATAATACATTATTATTTAGCCTAACAATGAGATCTTCTGTTTATCTTCAAACAAATGCTTTATTTATCTAGTAGAATATATACTTTTTTTTTTTTTTTTTTTTTTTTTTTTTTAAAAAAAAAAGAAAAAAATCAACTCTGCTTATCTTGAACACCTCATTATTAACATTGCTTAAACCTTCAAAATTTTGTAAAATAAGCGTATTATATTTTAGTTGCTGTATTTGCTCTAATTACAGCAATAGATAGTATGAGTACATTTATATATAATTTAGCCCTCATATCTAAATATATACTAACCAGAAATAATAGATATCAAGAAATGTATATAGCTTTCTTTACATAATTTTTTTTGGCATATCGTCACTAGTTGCACAAATACTTCCGGATCAAAATATATAAGAACAATAATTATCGGAACAGTATATTTAACTGGATCAAACCATATATTTGAACATATTTAATTGACAATTATAACAATAATATATACAAACATATATTGTATTATTGGATAGATGTTGCCTTTATCAGGAACTAAGCTTTGATTTGCACTACTCTTAATTACTTTCATAGTGTAGTAACTCAACGAATTCGTACTTTAGATAATGGTATTTAGATTCATATATCTATTAATACTCTTTAATAATATAATGAAAGAATAGTTAGAATTAGTTTTTAACTATCTTCGAAAAGTTAGTATCTGATTCATTACGTATGTTGTATTTGCACATAGTGTAATAGTAAAATAAGCATAGTAATCTGATAATATTGTCATATACAAATATAAAGTTAAAAGTTAAAGTTAAACTAGATATTCATACACAACAATAATATTAATACAAATACAGTAATAAATAATTCTAGATCTGAAGCCAAAGTATCGCTAATCATAGCTATAATTCTTATGTCAAAAAATTAAATATAAACAATGATTGTCAATACACATAAACTAAACTTGACGTAATATATTACCGTATATAACAAACCAAGATGGGCTGTAGTAAGTAATAGGAATAAGTATTTTTTCATTGCAACTATCATATATATTACATATACTGGACTGATTGCCTAATAATATATAACCCGACTCTACAAACTAATATGATATAAAGGGCAACAATTTACAACTCAAGCGGATAAATCATTTATAAGACAATCATACAGAGAGTATAAATAGCAGAGATTTTATAAATATAGTCATCTTTTTTTCTCTGTTAGTTTTGAGTGATATAATATTCTTATATGAATATATAGAAGTATATTGACAGATTTTATACATTTTATCTCTGTTTATCTTTATTATTTCTCTTTCTTAACACAAATCTCATAATTAAGAACACAAAAATATACTCACCTGTTGTGGTTTAGGTAGATTTAAGAATTAAAATAAAAATAAAAGAAATATAAAATAAGACAGACAGAAGAAGTACGTTGAGATTTGTCAATAAGTTTTATTAAGAAATGAATTAATTCAAGTATTCAAGTATATAAAATAAGGATGAATAATGTAAGAGTATTTATATGTTTTGTGAATAAGGATGATGAGTAATAAGAAGATGAAAAATATAACAAATTGTATTTGATAATATAATTATAGAATGATTACTAAGAGTTATAATTAGAGATATAGATATAGATTCATGTCTTTTGTATGTATTTATTTTTATAACTAATACGTGTATTCTGAGTGGAATCAATTATTACGCGTATTTGTATTATTCCTGGTTTACCCCAGTTTAACTTGTATAAAGTTATTTTTATAAATCTATATTCAGCAGAACAATAATAGAAGAAAGTATATTTTTTAGACGTAGGACTTTTTATTAATTAATTATTTTTCTATACAAGGGTAAATATACTAAATATGTTTATAGACAGAATTATTGTACAAGTGCACTTACATATTCTATTATGACTATTTATCTTATTGAATTAAGTTATAAATCTTACAACCATGACAGTTCCAAAGTCAATTGTTTTATTTATGAACTTAAAATGATGGGGATATTTATAAGAATTGTTAAAGAGGTCTAAGGATAGGATGTGAATCAGAAAAGTGTTAGTTACGACCGAATTAGGTAGATTGTTGACAACGAAGTGTTAGTGATTTTAGTATTATTAAATGGAGCGGATCAGGAGAGATTCAGAATAGAGTTTCTTAAATAAATTTATGATCCGCATGTTTAATCATGGAACATGACATTATAAGTCAGCTCATGACACACGCCCCTCTGAATTGTATCTGTTAACTTTGGTCTCATTAGACCAAATAACTCGTTTCCAGTCGGCTATAGTCCAATCTTTATGAGCCATGCACCATGCTAATCTCTTCTTTGCGTTAGCTTTGTTATGATTGTAGTCGTTCTTATAACTAAGTTAATACAGTGACTCACAAAACTGTCCCAATGTTTTGCACTTTTCTCTTTAACTGACTCGTTCTTCTTTTGTAATCATGCTAGAAAGATATGGAAGATATCATTCGATAGCCTAAGTAATTCTCTATCAAATCATTACCAAAAATAGTAATATAATTTAGAACTCAGCGTAAAATATTAAATAAAAAATTGAATATGCATTGGGACAGTTTTGTGGCCGTACCTATAAAAATAAAATTTGTCCCACAATTTGGCAGTAACTTTAGCCTAGCATATAGTAGCGATCATATTATTTCTTTGTGCCTTCCACAGTATAATTAAGGTAAGTTCTAGAATATTCTATAATTTTGGGGACTAAATCTTGAGGCCATATTGTTAGTATGCGCTCCATAAGTGAAAACCAAAGAAATGACATTATTGCCAAGCTCAACAGTGGACTTTCTGTGCGTCAAGTGGCTGAGCAGATTGGCGTGAGTCGGAGTTCTGTGTGTCGCATCGGAAAAACATATTTATCTGGGCGCAGCTTGTCAAAAGGGGGACGACCTGGTAAGCTCACGGAGAGGGACAAGCACTACTGTGTTCATAAAATAACTAGAGGAGGTTTAGAAAACACTGTGCAAGTCGGAAATTCAATTAAGTCGGAGCTAGGCAAGTCAGTCTCATCTGAGACAGTTCGTCGCGCTTTAAAATCGCTCGGTTTGGGTTCTATAGAAAAGGAAGCGAAACCTGCACTTAGTACCACAAATATTAAAGAACGACTTAGATGGGCAAAGAAGTATAAAGACTACACAGTCGATGATTGGAGAAGGGTTAATTGGTCTGACGAGACCAAAATTAATCGTTTTAACTCCGATGAACGTGTCTGGGCTTGGATAAGGGACAGTGAAAGTCTTCAAATGCGTCATATTAAGCAGAATTATAAACATGGAGGTGGTTCAATCATGATTTGGAGTTGTATTACCTGCGTCGGAGTTGGCTGGATGTGCAAAATAGACTCTACTATAGACGGAGAGCTTTATAAGGAAATCCTTCAAGACGAATTAGAGAAATCTATCGAAATGGTGTGCAAGCAAACAGGATTAAGGAGAGACCAAATCGTCTTCCAGCATGATAACGATTCAAAACATAGGTCAATTCCAGTCAAAGAATACTTGAAAAGCCAGGAATACGAAGTTCTTGATTGGCCATCACAGTCTCCAGACCTTAATCCTATTGAACATATGTGGGCTCTAACAAAAAGAAAACTTAATGAGTATGAGACACCACCTAAGGGTATTCGTGAGCTTTTTGAAAGAATCACGGATGTATGGTACAATAAGATTACCAAAGAAGATTGTTTAAGGGTTATAGACTCTATGCCCGACCGTTGCAAAGCTGTTATAAAGGCAAAAGGTTGTTGGACTGATTATTAGTTGTTCTATGTTTAAATTAAATAAAATTAACTTACGGCCACAAAACTGTCCCAATGCATATTCAATTTTTTATTTAATATTTTACGCTGAGTTCTAAATTATATTACTATTTTTGGTAATGATTTGATAGAGAATTACTTAGGCTATCGAATGATATCTTCCATATCTTTCTAGCATGATTACAAAAGAAGAACGAGTCAGTTAAAGAGAAAAGTGCAAAACATTGGGACAGTTTTGTGAGTCACTGTAGAAATAAACCATCATTTATTACATAATAAAGAGGTTATTCATATAAAACTAGTATATTGAACTTCACAGCATAATATTCGTTCTACACTCAGTTTTAATAATAGTCATTGTTAGAATGTTCGAGCAATAATAATAATTGTATACATAATTCAAACAGGATTATGACTGGTGTATTCAATTACATAATTGTTCTTGAGTGATACATATCAGATATACATTGATAATATCAAATATTGTTAAATAATGAAATCTTATACAATGATAATGATAGTAGCTCATAAATAATTGGTATTGTTGCAGCTA